TCATCCGCATCATCATCATCATCATCATCATCATCATTCACCCACACACACACACAGACTCTCTATGGAGTCGACTCGAATTTTTCCAAATATACAAATATCATTATTATTATTATTATTAATTATTTGACGTTCGCTGAAGCGAACGTTTTCGTATCGGATGACGTTTGAGGCTCTCGTTCGTTCGTTCGTTCGTTCTAGTAATAATATGATAGTAGGGAAAGTAATATTAGTAGTAGTATTTAATAATAATAATAATAATAATAATAATAATAATAATAATAATAATGAGTAATGAGTAAAATATTACATTGAGGTAAAAACACGGGAGAATGTGGTTTACTGTTACATAAATATCTTTTATTATTATCATTATCATTCCATTTGAAATTATTTTCTTTCTTTCTCTCTTTTTTCTAATTTCTAATTTGTTTAATTCGTTTCTTTTATTATTATTATTATTATTATTAATTTTATCATCACCGACTACGATATTATTATTATTATCGATTTGTTTTCCTCCTTCTTGCTTTCGTAATTCATACGAACACTTTTCTGTTTGTCTTTTTGTAAAAAGGGAAAGGAAGAAAAAAACCGTTGGAAATAATAATAATGATATACTCGCGATGATGATGATGATGATGATGATTATTATTATTATGGTAATTAATAATTTTTTTTTTTTTTCCGACGGTCGAAAACGGGCAAGTGAATATATTAAGTAATAATGATAATAATATTAATAATAATAATAATAATATTAATGATAATAATATTAATAATAATAATAGTAATAAATTTAATGATTGATTGATTGATTGATCGATCGATCGTTTGTTATCATTATCATCAAAGAATTTTCCATACGAAATGCGCGTGTGTAGGGAGGTAGTCTTAAAAAGAAAAGAATTTGAGTTTCCGGTTTCCGGTTTAAACGAATACGGTTTAAACGATTAAATGAATATTATTATTATTACTATTATTATTATTATCATTATCATTATTAATTAAAATTTAAAATTAAAAAAAAACTCGTTTAACAAACGTACTATTAAAAATAAATTCTTATTCAATATTATTATTATTATTATTACTATTACTACTGCTATTATTATTATTATTATTATTATTATTATTATTATCATTAAGACTACTGTAATTAAATTTTAAATATAATGTATTATATATATATTGTAATAAAGTCCGAGTCGACGTCATCACGGTAAATGGTAAATTCTAGAAAAGAAAATTTTTTTTTTCTTTTGCGTGCGGGTTTGCGCGTGCGCTTAGGAAATTTTAAATAAATGATTTTAGGCTCAGTTTTTTGTATAAAATAAATTATTAAGTAAATAATTATCAATAGTAATAATAATAATAATATTAATAATAATAATATTAATAATAATAATAATAATAATAATAGTAATAAATAAATTATTATCGATCCCGTCGATCGATGAAAATTGTATCGAGTTCGAGTTTTGTAAAAAGAAAGAGAGAAAATGGTCGTAAAATGTACTACACGTGTATTCGTTCGTCATTTTCACCGACAATTTTTTTTTTTTTTTTAACCCCACTTTCAATTGTTTAAATAAAATAATTAATAAACAAACAAACAAACGTTCGATTCCACCGCCGGCTGAGAATTTTCGATTGTTTCGATAAATCGATACATCGATTTGAATTTATTGATTAAAAAAATACACACACACATGTATTCGCATACGTGAAATGGATGAAATTATTATTATTATTATTATTATTATTTATTTTTATTATTATTATTATTATTAATTTTTTTTTTATTTTATTGCTGGAAAAAAAGATGATAGTCTTTAATAGTTTTTATCGAGTTAACATTATTATTAATATTACTTATTTTAATGACTGCTCGTTAACAGGTACCCGTTAGGGGTGACAAGGGGATGGGGGGTAGAAGAAACGTTCAAATGTTTTTTTTTAATAATAATTGTATGTATATGTGTGCGTGTGAAAGTATCAATTTGTAATTTTTGGCGCGCATTTTTAAAATTTTGAAAAGTTTTTAACGATCAAACGTTAGTTTTATTATTTACAAGTTTTTAAGTTCTAATTCTCCCCTCCTCCTCCCCCTTCCCCGATAATTTTTCTTTCGATTTGTGTAAATTTGGTGATGATGAGGGGGGCAGGACGAGGGAAAATGAGGTTTTTTTTTTTAAAAAAAAAAAAAAAAAAAAAAAAGTAAAAATTAAAAAAAAATTCATGTTTTCTCGGTGTTGTTGTTGACATTTTTTTTCTTTTGTCATTAATATACTGTCTCTCTCTACTAAACTTTACAAATAATAATAATAATAGTAATAATAATAATAATAATAATAATGATTATGATGATATTGATGATGAATAAAAATCGCGATGAATACAAAAAAAAAAAAAAAAAATTTTGGTGGTGAAAATATCACACACTCGTTCGTACACGCAGGTACACACGGCTTAAAATAATAATAATGATGATGATAATGATAATAATTAAGGGGTAGAAGAAGGGGGGAGGGGGAGAAATTAAAACTTCGATTCTCAAAACTAAATACAGGTAATTAGTTTATAAGAAAAACAAAAAAAAAAAAAACCATCGCGTACATGCATCATGTTGTCGTCTTTTTTTTTTTTAATTAACGAGGGGAAGGGGGGAAATAAGGGCGCGGTACAAGTTTTTATTTGAAAGAAAAAAAACCCCCTAAATTATTATTATTATTATTATTATTATTATTATCAAATTCGATGGGCATTAAATATCCGTAACGTATTCATTAATAATAATTTTTTTACTCTATGATTTTCAGCAGGAAATTTGATTTTTTTTTGTTCCCCCCTTTTAAAGGGAGGGATAGGGGTTAAAGAGAGGGTTGTTTTATTCCTCCCTCCCCGGTAAAAAAAACAACAACACAAACAAATAATTATTATAATCGTTCAAAATGAGAAAAAATAAACAACCGAGAAGACTTGAATCTATTATTAGTTTCTAGTGATTAAATAAATAAATAAATTAATAATTATATATATACATAAATACATAAATACATACATGCATACATACATAATACATACATAGATACACGAATAGATAGATAGATAAATGATTGATATAACGAGTTTAAACAGTTTCGAACTCGATTTTTCTTTCTTTTCTTTTGTATAAACGGAAAAAAAAAAAAAAATTTTTTTCTAAATTTGTTTTTATCATCATTGTCATTATCATTATTATTACTATTATCATTATTATATAAATTGTTCTTTCTTTCTTTCTTTTTAAAAAAAATAATTTTTTTAAAAAAATATTAAAAAAATAATAATAGTAATAAATGGTTTTAAAAAAACCGAAAAGTTAATGATTATAACTATTACTATTATTATTATTATTATTATTATTATTATTATTATTATTAAATACATTAAAGTGATAGTATAAATATATATATATATTTATATTATAGTAAAATGGTGCGTTGTTTTTTTTTTTTTTTGTGGAATGAAAGAGCTTCGAGCATATGTATACGTATATATAATTATATATATATATATATATATATATATATATATATATATATATAAATAGTTTAATTAATTGATTAAATTAATAAAATGATAATGATAATAATAATAATAATAATAAAACCCCCGATGTAGTGTTGTATCCTTAATTAAATTATTTAAATAATAATAATAAAAATAATATTTACATTTACAAAATTTAATAAGTAAATAAATAAATAAATAAATGAATAAAAATTTTTATTATTAATTGTAATTAACGATGATGATGATGATGATGATGATGATTGTAATTATTATTATCTGATTTACGTCTGTCCGTCGTCGTCGTCGTCGTCGTCGTAGTTTATTATTATTATTATTATTATTAAAATTATTTGAAAAAAAAATTTAAAAAAAAAAAAATTTAAAAAAATATAAATAAATAAATAAAAAATAAATAAAAAAAAAAAAAAGTTTAAGCGAAATAATAATAATAAAAAAATAAAAAATAAAAATAAATAAATAAAAAATTAGGTTACGTAGCTTGTTGGTAGTTATTATTATTATTATTATTATTATTATTATATTAGTTTGTTTAGGTCATTTTTTTTCACTTTTTTTTTTCTTTTTTTTTTTTTTTTTTTTTTCTATTAGTTCTATTATATATAAATATAAATATATATATAAATATTTAAAAAAAAAAAAAAGGAAAAAAAATTGTAATTAATTAATTAATTAATTAAATGATTGATTTTTTTTTTTTCTTTTTGTATTTTATTAAAAATTTATTATTGAAAAGTTTTTTTCTCATTTTCATTTTTATATATATATATTTGTGTGTGTGTGGGAAAAAGATGGAGGTAAAGAATTATGAAGAAGGAGAGGAAGGAAATTGAAATGGTTTTTTCCTACTCCCTATCCTTTTTCCCCATCTCCCCCTCCCCATCACTACTCCTACCTAGTGGCGTAAAATACAATTAAATAATTAGTATAAAAAGTGTCGTCTTCCTGAATCCACCTCTTATTCCTTAGTTGTTGTCTGGATGACAACAACATTTGTGGAATAACCAGGATCAGGGATTGTGGTGTAGTGTGTCTCAGGTAGTGTGTCATGGTCTGTCTTTGTTTTGTTCTTAGTTAAGTTGTGTGTGATGTTACCATGAGGTAACCCATTCAGGTACAAATGTCATGTGCTGCTTAACTGATTATTATTATTATTATTATTATTACGGCTAAAAGGTGAGTTCATTTAATTATTTATAAAAAGGTAATGAACGTTTCTTTCCTTTTCTTTTTGTTCATTTTTGTCTGCATTCAATCATTAAAAATAATATTGTAATATTGGTAACATTTCATCACTCATCAATAAAAACCAAAAAAACCTGTTTGGGGGGGGGGCTTTGTATTTTTCTGAATAATATTTTAGTTATTATGCCCTATAATACTATTATTATTACTATTATAAGTAAAGACAAATTTTCTCTTTTGTAGTAACAAGAAGTTGATATTATTTGAGCATAAAATTATTGTTATTATCATTATTACTACTCTTAATTCATACTTTGTCACACAGTTAGCCCTAGTATATAATCACATAATGCACATAATGCACATTTAGTGCATAATCACATAATGAATGCATTTTATAAGAAACCATACAAATCAAACAAATTGGTATCATGTCATATACATTTATAGTTGTATGGAAACCAATAAAACACAAGACAACATGTATTATTATTATTATTATTATTGAATCAAACAAATTATACTAAATGGTTAGTTTTACAGTAGTAAATAGTAGTTAACAGAAGCAGAAGATATTTAACATTCATTCTCTGTGTTGAAATAAAGTAATGTGAGGTGCTTAACTAACATCTACTATCTTGTTTTTCATACTAATCAGCAAAATGTCTTTTTGCAGAGAAAACAGAGAATTCTTTTACTTAATCTTATTTTTTATCACATTTTTATCTAATCTTTCTAATGTTGGAAACTAATGAAATTATTAACAAATCTTTTTTTCAAACATTCTCCTCCATCATTGAAAGTTTAGTATAGGTGATGTATAATTGCTATTCATTATCCAAATGTGATAGCTTTTTTTCAGAAATTTATCATTCATTCATTTTCCTCATTTAGTTTTACTCATGTATTTAAAATAAATGCATCAATAATTTCAATTTCATGTCAAATTTCTTTCCCAAGTATTACATTAACCAATATTACAATAAGGAAGTATACATACAACAGTAGTAGTATGAACAATAAAAAGCATAAAAACCTATAAAAGTGATTGACTTTATCGATTTAAATAATAGTAATAATAATAATAATGATATGAAAATGGCATGAAATTAAAATTAATTGATAAAAACCATCGTGAAAAATTATAAAATTACTAACCGTTACATTATGCATTTGTAATTGCCAAAGTCGATAAGATTACAACAAAATTGTTTTCTTTTCTTTAACTAATATTTTCGAATATTCTACGTGACGTAAACGATTTTCCCAATTTTAAAATAAGTAAATAATAAGTTTTTATAAATAAAATCGAATTAAAACTTGATCGAATATAGAAAAAACTAAAAAAAAAAAAAAAACCCGCGTTCTTTTTACCGAACGTTCCAGAACAATTCGAAATAGAATCCGGAAACAAATTACGCGATGATGCACCGCAGTTTATAACGTTTATCGAATTTTTTCATTTCCTGTTATTCGAGTTCCGATATTCATTCGAGTAATGGCGACAGTTGACACAAACGTGTGGTTCAACATGTCGGGAGATGATAGTACGTCAGTTAATGTGAGAATTTATTATTTTTTTTACCATTAATTATTTGAAATTTTTAATTTTAATAAACATCACGTACATATTTCAACCTTTTTACTTATTTTATTTTATTTTTTATTAATTTTTTAAATAATAATAATAATAAATATCGTTTAACTATTGAAACGATGAATCTTCATTTCAAAAAAAAATAAATATATACATTTTTTTTTTTTTTTTACTTACGCATACGTTTTTTTCTTTTCATTTCTTTTTGTCTTTTCATTTCTATTTAACGGATTTCATTTAAAAATTAACATGTTACTTCTTTATTGGTTTAATTACATGTATTTTTTCAAAAACATTTTTCACATTTAGACGTGTTATTTCCCTTGATTCAAGAATTAATAATAATAATAATGATATTTGGTTAGAATTCATTCTTTGTAAAAATTTATCAAAAATGTATATTTGGTCTCGTTTATTTGTAACAAAATGAAATAAACAAATTCATTATAATTTTAAAAAAAGGAATAATTAATTTGTATCATTATTATAAATTATTGTTTTAATTTTAGATACCAGATTTTGCAAATGATGTCGAAGGTGATATACTTGTGCCCTATAGCAAAAATACACAAGATCCGAGACAACCGGATTTCAATACATTAGATGAACCAATTAGGCAAACGGTTATGAGAGATTTAAAAGCAGTCGGTGTTAAATTTAAATATGTTCTTTTTCCTAGAGATAAAGAAAGTAAAATGTTATTAAAAGAATGGGATTTATGGGGACCTTTATTATTATGTACATTTATGGCTGTGTAAGTTTACATTTTTTATTACTTTTTTTATTAATGTTTGCATTTTACAAATTATCACATGGTTTAAATATTTAAATTTTTTTTTTTTTTTTTTTAGCGTATTACAAGGTTCTAGCGATGCGGGTTCAAACGATGGTGGACCTGAATTTGCTGAAGTATTTGTTATTGTTTGGGTAGGAGCTATGATAGTTACACTTAATTCTAAATTATTAGGAGGCAATATGTAAGCACTAATGATAATAATAATATTTTTACTTTACTTATTCTTTTACTTTATCTTATTCTCGATTCGAAATCGAAATCCATTTTATTCGATATTTATTTTATTTACTTTCAGGTCATTTTTTCAAAGCGTTTGTGTATTAGGTTATTGTTTATTATCTCCTGCCATTGCTCTTATTTTATGCAGAGCTGTTTTATTGGCTGGAAGATCTATGACATTATTCATATTGCGCCTTGTAATAGCATTAAGTGCTTTCGTTTGGTCCACAGCTTCGTGTATGGTATTCTTAGGTCAGAGTCAAGCTCCCGGTAGGAAAATATTAGCCGGTTATCCTGTTTGTTTATTTTATGCCATAATATCATGGCTCGTCATATCTCACACCGATTAATAATGATAATTATTTTAGTGTAAATCACATTAAAAAAAAAAATTATAAAAAAAAACATTTAAAAAAAAAAATTAAATGTAGATATGTATATTACAGACTGATTACATATATATATATAATTACTTATATAATTAAAGATATTATTATATTTGTTATAATTAAGGGTATTTTAAATAGTTTTAATTACACAGTATATATTTATATATATATATATAAATAATAAATTTTAATTTTATGCTTTGTTTAAAAACTTTTAACGTGAAAAAATAATTTCATTATAATAATTTTGTTTTATATAAATCATTCTTTTAATTCACTTCAATCAAATATCGAAATAAATATCAATCGAATAAACGTTAATAAAATATTTTATTTAAATAAAGAATTTATTATTTTATAACGGTTTTTTTTTTTTTTTGTTGTTGTTGGGAATCGAACGATTTTCGTTACTTCCGGTTGGTAATCGAATGACAAAAATTTTAACGGTTAGCGTCTGGCAAATGTCTACATTAGTTAAATATTATAACACGGTTGTTAATAGGTTTTACTAATCTTTAACCGACGGTTTTTTCTATAAAATAAGTATTTTTCAATTAAAAAGTGCGTGAATTAATAAAAATTTTGATATTATTAAATTTTAAAAAACTTTTGTGATCGTTACGATGACGAAATCAATTGAACATTCGAACACGATTGGATTTTTTATAACGGTAAGAAAAAAATTTTTTTTTTTTTTTGTGATCCCTTGTTCACTTGAATCATCGTGTAATAATTTCACGTTTAAATATTTACTTAAACGAAAATTTATTATAATTATTAAATAATAACAATAAATTAATTCGGGTTGTGAAATATTTCACAATTTTTAATTTGATCTTAACCTTGACCTCTTCCGGTTAATACGTTTCTAGTTCTTTGAAAAAAAAAACCAAATTTGAAATTTTTTTTTTTTTTTGTTCTTAAAAGTATGAGTAAACATGAAAAACGTGTTATTGAAAGTGATTAACAACAAGGGGAAACAATATTTTTTTTTTTTTAACGATATTTATTCCCTTCCCTCCCCCTTTTTTTCTTCTTTTATTTTCTTTGTTTATTAAATTTTTTTTTTCCTTATAATATTAAAACGTTTTTTAATCATTTGTACTTTTCTATTATGTTTCAAAAATCATAAATTAATATTCAAGATGAAACAAAAAATAACCTTTTAGGATTTTTAATGTTAAATAAGTTAATTTTGCTTTATTAAAACTTTGAACATTGTTCGAAAAATGTTTAAATTGAATCATATAAAAAATTAATAATATTCATAATATATTATACTTTTTATTTAAACATATCGACAAACAGACTCACACACACACAAATTTACTTTCAATTCAACATTCGAACTCACAAAATCATTCGTTTAAGATTTAATAAGACTTTTCTGTATGGAGTTACAAAAAGGAAAAAAACTCAAAGTTTCATATTATTTTAATTTTATTTTTTATTTATTAAAAGAAACAGTTTAAAAGAATTATTTTTTACAGATGATAAAATCTGTATTAAATGACTAAAACTGAATCATTTGTCCTTTTCTTTTCTTATCACCACCAAGTTCGAAATGCTTACATCTTTTTAATGGAACTTGTTTTCTAAATTTACAGTCTGCACATTCCATTCTTAAAACTATTTTTTTTGTTGTTTTAGCCTAGAAAAACAAAAAAAAAAAAACAATGTGTTCATTAATTAAATTGCAAAATCAAAAATAATTCCTAACCAAAGGCTGATGAATTAATAATAACATTTATGGGTTATTTAATCATATAAAATTAATCATACATAATATGTATGTACTTTACATTTAATGCCTTATTATTATTTAACGTAAATTGAAATATTTTACTTTTTATAACAAGAAAGAAATCAAAATATTGTTACATATGCATCATTATTATTAATAAAGTTAACCTTAACTTGTCGAACTTACTTTTTTACGAAATATAGGTTTTGTTTGTCCTCCATATCCTTTCTGTTTTCTGTCGTACCTTCTTCGACCCTGAGCAGCCTGCCTTTCTTTAGATTTTTTATATTGAGTTACTTTATGATTTTTATGTTTTTTACATTTTTTGCAAAATGTTCTCCTCGATTTAGGCACATTCACCTATAACGTAACAAAAAAAAATTTTTAAATGTCTTTTTGTAATATTTACCTTGGATTATGAAATAAAAATTTTTTATATAATTAAAATAAATATTTTATAAATAACGATTCGAATAAAATAACATTTTTTAAATTCGCGTATATTAAGATGTATTCAGATTATTTTTTCAATATAATTGACTCACCATTTTGGATAAAAAAAAATTTCAATCGGGTCTCTGTACGTCAATTACGTCACTAACATGAAAAATAACCGGATCTTTCAAATGAAGTAAAAATTTCAAATAATAAACATGAATGTTTTGAATACAAAAAAAAAATTGTCAGTAATTGAAAATTAATAAAATTATATTGTGCTTTATTAAATTTATATTTGGTGATGAAATAGTTTTGAAATAATACATTTTGTCATTTTTTCAAACGAAAACATTATTAAAATAATAGCGCGATTTTAAATCGCGTAGCTTTTACTAGAGGAAGTGACGTAGTTGAAAAATTTAAAGGAACTACGTCATATTTGAACCCAGACTCATAAACGCTGAGAACTCTCGACTTCTGATCAGTTTAAAATTGATTTCGTTGTAAACGGTTAGTGTTTGATATTTAAATAAAAATCTGAGTTTGAAAATTTTCATTTATTATTTCAAGTTAATTTTAAATTTTTTTCATATTAACATTTAACATTACAGGATTCAAGTATTATTTAATTCTTGAATATTGAACTCGAAGCCCGCGCCATCTTCTATTTTAAACAAAGTCGGTTGAGATCTCTATTCGATTCTTCTGTGATTTTCACTTACAAAAATGAGTTCAAAAGATAGTAAAGGTGAAGTTGCTGTAGATAAAGTTACAGAAAACAATGAAAAAGCAACGGCCGATGGAAAAAGTGAATTAAAAGGCACGAAAAGGCCGGCAGAGGTAAGTTGATTATTTAGCATCATAACACTCGTGCATGGCATCCATTGAAACATATAGCTTTCCATAACATCCTTTCGAAGTATTCATTATTATTCCTTTCCAGCATTGTAACAATTTATTTTTAATATTGTTTTTTCATTTTTCAATGCATTTAACATTTTTTTTATTAAAATTTTTATTTACACACCCTAAAATAGCTAATGCGACCATGTGTATACCGGCGTTTTAGTGCTTCCTTGTATTAGTCTTACTATGCTACCCTGTATTTTTTAATGATTTCATGTTATTTTTTAAATTTGATTAATTTCAAATCAATTTTATCCGCGTTACTTGCTTTTCCACGACGGCTTATTTCTAGTTTATAAAAACCTTTCCCGCGCATTTTTCCGGCTTTATGTGGATGACCTTGGGTTAAGCACAACTCGTAGCGTCAATATTGAATGGAAAGTTGTAGCTTTTAACTGCTGACTAATTTTTATTCGCGTAATAATAAATATGAGGAATCTCTTATTTGAAAAATTGGTAACAAACCAAATTTGTGGGCAATTGTGATGTGTGGTTTTAAATGGCATGACAGTTTCTCCAAAAAAACAACATGGCTACCAGGCAAATTTTTAAAGATGGCGCGTGATTTTTGGGACATGGCTAATAAACTATGAAAATATACTTAATTTATTGCCCAAAATGTTTAAAACGCTTGCTTATTCAAATGTGCTTGTTGTTGATTTTTTCCCTTTTAAGTTGAATTATTATATTTATACGAGTGATTTAGTAAATTTGGGGGGGAAGAGGAAAAAAAAATTGATGATTAGCTTATGAGTGATAAAGCACTTGAATTTTTTTTTTTTTTATAAATAAAAATGCTCTTATCATTACTTAAATTTTTTTAATTTATAGAAAAATAAATTTATTTGCTTTAATTAATATTTTAAAAATGAAATGGGTTCAGGAGATTTTTAGAAAGGGAAAAAAAAAAAAAAAGGTGAAAACTTTGTAATTTATGCCATTAAGTTTTACTCGACAACTGTGGGCATTTTTTTTTGTGAGGGAAATCGAATAAGTTTATTTATTTTTGTATGTGTGTGTGTGTGTGTTTGCATCTTTTGTAAAGTTTACAATTTTTCTTTTTTTCATTTTACTTGTCCAGATATTTAATTATTTCTAAATGTTTTTATCTATTTGTCGAGTTATCAAATTTGACCTTTTGCACAGTGAGTTTCTCACAGTTGGTCAGTATTGCCAAGAAGTATTATTTAATATTATTATTATTATTCAAACACAATTAAAATTAACATTGTTCTTTTCAAATTGACAATTTCAAATCATTTTCATTCACTTTAATATAAATAAAAAAGGATTTTTAAATCGAAATTGCATGATTGCATGAAGAATAATGATAAAATAATGTTGAGACATGTAATGTAAGTCGTTTTTTTTTTTTTTTTCTCTCTATCTCACTCTCTCTCTCTCTCTCTCTCTTGAAGGATAAAAACGAAGAAGTTAAAAAACAAAAAAAGGAAGAAAATGGAGAAGAAGAAGATGTAGAGGATGAAGAAGATGTCGAGGGAGAGGAGGAGGAGGAGGAGGAAGAAATGGCAGAGGGAGAAGAGGAAGACATAGAGGAAGGTGATGGTAAGTTTAAATTAATTATTGCATGTTTCGAAATGATTTTTATCGAGTCGACTGCTAAAAGAAAAATTTTCATTTTTTGACACATGTGTATTTTTGCAGAAGAGGAAGATGATGAGGGAGAAGGTGACGGAGAGGGGGAAGGGGAAGAGGATGAAGATGATGCATAATAAATTAATAAGGGATGAGTGAGTTAAGTGCAGTGGAAAACAAAAAGAAAAAAAAAAGAAAAAAAATAAATAATTAATAATAATGATAATGATTAAAAAAAAAACTGTAACACTGGTTTTGCAAATTTTACTTAAACGCAGTATGTACCTCTTTTCTTGAAAATGTTATGTATTTTATTAAGGGAGAAAAAAAAAAAAAAAAAAAAAAAAAAGTATGTAAGAATGTTGATAAGAAAAAAGTGTTTTCTTTACAAGGGCAGTTTATAATAATAATAATGATAATGATAATGATAATGATAATTTCAAGCACTTAAGTGTTCATATTGTATAATTTTTTAATTATATTTATTTAAGTCAGGAAAAAATAAAGTAAATTAAGTGAGTCAGTTATAATATATTGTACAATTAAATTAAATCAAATTTTGTAATGCAATTCCAGTGTTTGACTTTTGATTTAAGAAAAAAAAAATTTTCAAAAAAAAAAAAAAAAAGTAATAATAATAATAAGTTCGAGTGTAGATTAATTTAAACAAAACAGAGTTAATGTTTGTCGGTTCATACCGTCTTTGATTCTTCTCCTCTCTCTCTCTCTCATAACAGAATCAAAGACGGTTCGAACGTGTTGTCTTTTTCTTTTTTTTTTCTTTTTTTTTTTTTTTTTTTTTATAAGGCTTTAAATCATGCCAAGTTCAAAACATTAAAAGAAAAAAAAGGAAAAAGGAAAAAAAAAAAAAAAACATAGAACTCTATCAGGAGTTTTGTCAATGTAAGATGGATGAATTACACGTTTTGATTAGTAGGCTGTAATAAATAAATTTAAAAAAAATTTATGGTATTTTATTAGAAGGAATAATAATAATAATAATAATAATAATAATAATGAATAAACCAACCCGAAAAAGGGGGATTTAAAAAAAAAAAAAAAATTCATGGGGGGTAATTCATTTTGACAATGGTTAACTGTACAATGGGGGTTTTTTTTTTTTTTTTTTTTTCTAGTTTTATTAATTTTTTTTTTTTTTCTGTCTATTATTATTATTATTATTATTATTATTACCGAAGCCGTTGTAACAATTTTTACCTTAAGACTATATTTTTGTTTTTTTTTTTTTTTTTTTTTTTTTTTTTTTTGTGTTTTTAATTAATGATAACAAAATGATGTGAGGTTCACCCATGGCATTGCAATTGTGTATGTTAAATTTAAATAGACGGGATAAGAGAAAGAGAGATGGATAGATAGATAGATGGATGGATAGATGGATAGATAGATAGATGGATAGATGCTCTTTAACGAGAGAGTTGGTCGAATTTATCCCTTTTTATTTCTTACGACTTGACAAATTTTCACAAAGGAAAAAGAAAAAGAAAAATGATTGATTAATGTTTTTATTATTATTATTATTATTATTTTCTTATTATAATGGCAAAATAGAATTGTAAAAGTGGGGGAAGGAATAGAAAGTAGGAAGGAAGAAGAAGGAAAAGATGTGCAGGAAGGTAGGGAGGGGGGGACGACGTGAAATGGAAAAAAAATTGTTTCAAAATAGAAGATTTGTGTTTATTTTTGTTTTTTTTTTAATTTTATTATTATTATTATTAAACGTTTTGTTTTTTTTTGCAAAAAGTTTGTTTACAACAATGCAAAGCCATATTGGGAACCTAGTGAACCAATAAAAAAAATTTAAAAAAAAAAAAAAAAGAATGATGATGATAATAATAATTTATTTAATTTGATTTTCACACATGAGTATACAATGTATAAATAATTTTAATTAAATTTGTAATACATTCAAAAGTACATTTTCAAAAAAAAATTTATTATTTTTTTTGTTTGTTTTTTTTTTAATTTTAATTTTAATATTATTATTAATATTATTATTATTATGTTTTGTATAACGCGTTAGAGTGAGAGACTGGATGCAACCGCAAACGGGATGAGGGGGAAAAAGGGGGAGAGAGAGAGTGAGAGGAAAAGGAAAACATGTCAGATGATTAAGAAAAGGAAAATTTTTTGTTTTAGGATCTCAAACGACTCACGTTCAAGGGTAAAAAGGGGTGGGGGGGTGGATTATCACAGACAATTTGCCAAAAACAAATTTTATTATTATTATTATTATTTCTGTAATTTTTTATTTTGTAAAATTTTTAAATTAAGAGGAGAAAAAAAAAAAAAAGAAACAACCAAGCCTCGGTTCGGTTAACACTTCTGAAATTGTTCTATGGTAAAAAAAAAAAAATTAATTGATAATGATAATATTAATAATAATAATAATAATGATAAATGAAAAGCAAGCGTTTTAAATATATAAAAAAAAAATTAAAATAAAAAATTTTTGTGCGAATGATTTGTGAAAGAAAGAAACAAACAAACAAACAGACAGACAGACAGAGAGAGAGAAAAAAATCTTTTTGTGTGTTTGTTTTGTATGTGCGAATGAATGCGTGTGTGTGTGTGTGTTCGTGTGTGTAGTTCAAATTTTTTTTCTTTTTACTTTTTTAATAAAATAAAATAAAATGAAACAAAAAAATTAAATAAATGAGTAAATAAATAAATAAATAAATAAAATGTAATTTTTTTTTAAAAAATATTTTAATTGATTATCAAAAAGAATTTTGATAACGAAACAAACGAGGTGAGAGTTTGTTGTACGTATTGCGCCGCGTGGAAAATCCTTGGCGTTTCCCCCCCCCTTTTCCCCGTCCCCCACTCCTCCCACGCAACCCTTTCCACACCTCCCCCTCGTGCGCACACGCGCACAAATGACATTTTCCTTCTTTTTTCCGGATTTCGAAATCCGGGGGAGGAAAATTTTTTTTTTCTAGAGTGAAAATGATTATTACACGCACGCACGCACGCACGTGAAATTTTGATGATGATTATTATTATCATCATTAACGTGGGGGTTTGGAATGGAATGAAAAAGTTCGTGGGAGGAGGAGGAGAGGGAGGGGAAGGAGGAGGATAAAGAAAAAAAAATTGGCAGGGAAATGAATGTCGAAGTTCAGGATAATAAACAAATGAAAAAAGAAAACGTCGATGATGACGATAATAATAATAATAATAATAATGATAATGATAATTATGCGTGTGCGTGTGTTTAATTGCACAACATTTCGAGATGATTTCGATTGGGATGAAAATTTTAATTTTTTTTTTTAATGTATCGGTATAAAGTTATCAACACAATACGAGTTTTATCGATGATGACGTTTTATTATTAATGACGTCATCATCATTTTATTATCATGGACGTGTGTTTTTTTAATAATAAATTGCCAATAGGTAAACTTGTTATAAAAATAATGGAAGGGAAGGGAATTATTATTATCATTTTTTTTTTTTTAAGTAAATAAAATTGTTTCTAGAACATTCGATTACATTATTTCGTATAAAAACTTTTAGAAACGAATTTCCAAAAAAAAAAAAAAAAAATGAAAAATAAAAAATATTATTCGACCGATAATAATAATAAAACAAAGGAAATAAATTTGATCACGTGACGCCGTCTGTGTGTGTGTGTGTTGTCGTCGCCGTCGTTAAATTTTAATAATAATTATTGTTGCTATTTAGATTCGATTTGTTTTAATTATTCGACAGAAAATAAAATAAAAGAAAATCGTTATTTGGGGATTTAGAATAATAAAAAAACGAAAAACAAATGAATTTAAAAAGATTCAAGAATTAATAAATTTGTATATATATATTCGTTTGAATAACGATTATATCGTTTGCCGACAAACCGGTTCCAGAATTTTTTTAAAAATTTTATTGACGTCATCACAGATTTCGACCAATGAGAACAATTCTTATCGATTAATAACTTACTTACGTCATTACGTAGTTAGTCAGTTAGTTTCATTAAAATTTCTTTTACCCTATTAGTAAAACACAATAATAATTTTTTTTTTTTTTTTTTTTTTTACACGAGATGTTAAACACGTAGAATAATTAATTGCGTCAAATTATGCAATTTCTTTTGGTTTTTCCTTTTCCCCCGAGCCCCATTTCCCCCAAAATAAAATTATTAACTTTTATCGTTATTAAAAATAATAATAATAATAATTTCATTGAATTTTTGACCTTTTTTGACATACGTTTAACGAATCATTACAACATATTACAATATAAATATTGTAATTATGTAGTTACTTTTAAAAATTAAAATCAAAAATAATTTTTAAATAATAAAAATTAATAATGAATCGTAAAAAAAAAAAAAAAAAAAAACATTACGTGTGTTGGATACATCTTATGCATATTCATTGATGTGTAAACAAAGCAGGATTTAAAAAAAAGAAAACATTTGAAATTGGAATAATTATTTGATATTATTATTAAGATGAATATTTTTTTATTTAAATAATAAAAATAATAATAATAATATTTAAATCAAAAAAAAAAAAAAAATGAATAAATAAATAAATAAATTGTGATGCTTTTGTTTGATTTTAAAAGGAAGTTCAATTGACTTACCGAGTAATTACGTAATAAAATTGAAAAAAAAAATTACGATTTAATATTTATTTGCCGAAGTATTTAATACAAAAATATAAATAAATTAATAACTTATTTAAATAATTTTTAAATTTTATAATTTTTTCTTTTTTATTTTTCTTTTTTTAAAACTTAAAAACCTAATTATAAAAAATGCATAATGTTAAAAAAAAATCGATTGCACAAGTTTGTATAAAATTTTAGTTACAATTTTTTACACCTGGCAGCGCTTTGCAAAGAACGCCGAGACGTGACGTAGTTGAGGTAATTAGGATTGGGAAAGAGGATGAGTAACGTTCTCGTGTGATTTTTTTCCAAAAGTTTTTTTTACAAATCAAAATTATTGGATTCAAACATGTTTGTAAAATCATATTATCATTTTTTAAATTATTAATGTTTTTTACTGAAGAGAGAAAAAACAAAATGCCGACAGAATGATGAAATGCAAAACTCATGAAATGCTATTCTAAATAAGGTGTGACCTTTTCATTTAATTTGAATTTTTTTATTGTCTCATTTCCGCCATTACATGAAAACGATTTTTCGATACTACGTTAATCATAATTGCATTGTTATATATTTTTTTAATACTTTTAAATTATTTATTTATTTTATTTTAATTTAAATAAGTACAAAAAGAAAAAAAAACTACACTTTGAATATATATATATATAGTAAATTTTAAAATAAAAAATTTTTCTTTTATTAGTCGCTGACTGGATCCGATAATGAATTAACAGTTGCTCTTTTGGATTCCGTATTCCACATTTTCATAAGTTCTAGAATGTTCGGAGTTTCCGTTTGTTCAACCGTACTTTTTTCTCCCTAACGGTATATAATTATTAATTTAATTATTTTTTTTGTTTTTTTACATTACAATCGTTTTATAAACGATTTCTATTATTTATTATTGATAATTTATTTAAATATATATTAATCATGCCTTTATCCATGGATGATTTAATATTTCAGCGGCCGTTATTCGAAACGCTGGATTTTTAACTAACATTTTTTCTAAGAGATTAATTGCGGATTTGCTTATATTTTGCCATTCCCAACCTGATGAAGCACACAAGAAACTTTATCCATAACTATTATTAATAAAACTAACTCAGTAAGTACACAACACATAATAAGAATAAAATAACCTGTGAAATCTGGATTTTCGGTTAATATGAGTGTACATAATTCTTGTTCGCATTGATTCTCTGAATAAAAGGGCCAAAGACCACATAATAGTAAATAATCTAAAACTCCTATACTCCAAACGTCACACTGTTGACTATACGGTCTGTTTTCTATTATTTCAGGTGCCATATATTGAAGGGACCCGCAACAATCGTTCAACATGTTTTCCACTCCGTTTCCTTTAACTGCCGACAATCCAAAATCTGTCAATTTGATGTACAAATGGTCATTCGGATCGTTTGGATTTGTACCGATTAAAATATTTTCTAACTTTATATCTCTGTGAACAATGTCTGAAACGAAAGGTTATCATCATTAAATGGAATTCATTGATCTTACATCAAGTTGAAAACTTTGGTAATTAATTAAAAACTTTAACAGTAATTAATTAGGGGGGTGCGCGGGTTATTTCTTACCACTTTTGTGTAGGTACGCAACAGCATCCGCCAATCTCCTTACGATTATTCTCGTTTCGTTTTCGGTCAAATGTTTTTCTTTAATAAATAAATCGTATAATTCACCGTGACATTTTTCCATAACTAAAAAATATTTATTCGGCGTTTCGAATAATTGTTCTAAATGTATCACGTGATCGTGATGAACACTTTTTAATATGTTTATTTCTCTTTGCAACTGTTGTAACCTATGAAACGTTTTTGTTTTTTTTGTTTTTTTTTTTTGCTGTTTTTACACACACGCACACGCACATTTTAATATGCTTTTTCAAAGTGTCTCTCACCTGCTTTGTCCGGCTTTAGATTTATTCATTATTTTAATTGCCCACGGTTTGTTGTCTTGTTTTTTAACGGCTTCGTGAACAACGCCAAAACATCCCTGTCCGATTATGTTTCCCAATTCGTAGTGTTTCAACAGTTCTTCCGATTTGCATAGTTTTAACGATTGTAATTTTCTTACTTTTAATTTTGTGCCAGGATTCGACTGGAAAATTATTTTAGATTTTATTTTTTACTTAAGAAGCAAATTGTTACGTCAAATTTTGTAATTTGTTCGGTTTTAAAAAAAAAAAAAGAGACATCAATTTAGGCTGACATTGCACAAAATGTCGCAATTGAAAATTATCCACTCCTTAGATTTACAAGTTATGCTTTTTGTCATACAGATATATTAAAAATGACGTCACGTTTAAATTCATAACGTCTCATAAATTTTTTCTTAGAAATTTATACATTTTTATTAATAATAATTCAATTACATTATTTTTTACTATTATTATTATTATTATTATTATTATTATTATTATTATTATTATTATTTCGAATCGTTTCAATCTGACTAATAGTAATTTAAATCTAAATGTTTATACGGGATTTAAAAAAATAAAAAGTTTTTTTTTTTTTTTTTTCAGAAATTGAAAATTTACCACTTGAAAAATTTTAAAGATGTTTGTATAACTTTTGGGGAAAGTTGGAAAAGTAAACAATACAAAAATTTGTATAATTTATAACGATATCAATAATAATAATAATAATAATAATAATAATAAGAACACGAGAAAAACTTTTAAGGTGAGTTAAATCATTATTATTATTATTATTTCAATTAAATCTTTATTAAAAGTTTTTTTTTTTTTTTGTTTACTCTTTAAAAACTTTATAAATTTTGATTTTTAGGTTCCTTTTTTTTTCAACGAATCGATTAAAATCGAAATAAAAATTATGAATACATGTAGGAAATGGTTAATATTGAAATCAATCGATCGATCGTCGATCAATCGATCAATCATGGATTTATCAGGTGAGAATTTAAATATTTTTTCATTTACATTTAGTAGTATAAAATTATATAAGTCAATGAATGTCAAACCTGTTCTAAATGACTAAATCCTGCTGATGTAAACATTGTGGACAATTAATCTTGACGATCTTTATTATTATTATTATTTAAAAACAATAATATTCATAAACTTTATTTATTTTTTTTATTTAACTAAATTCAAACGATAATTATTTACACATTTATGTATATATATTTTTTTTTTTTTTACTGGCTAATTTTTTTTTTTTTTTTATATGTATATTGACAATTGTTTGTTTTTATTTTTTTTTTATTTTGTGTTTACAAAGTAACATTGCATTTACTTTATTTTCATACTTTATTTCATAGAGTAATAAAACCGGAAACGAGGAGGGCACAAAAAAATTGGGGGGTTTCTATTTAAAAAAATAAATTTTTTAAAATGAAAAAATATAATTTTTAATTTTTTAATTTGCTACAAGTTGTTGCGATGAAATCAAAGAGCAAACAAACAAACAAACAAACAAAAAATATTATTTACAATAATTAATATTATTATTTAAATTAATATTTATTTAAAAAAAAAAAAGAAAAACAACAACAGCAGCAGGCCGAAATTTTTTATATATATTTTAATTATTAATTAATTTATTTTTAATTTTTAGTCGTTTTAATAAATACATTTTTAGTTTCGATGACGACGGAGCAAAAAAAAAAAACAAACATTTTTTTGTACTTGATAAATTTCAATAATAATAATAATAATAATAATGACGTAACAGGAACAACAACAACAACAACAAGAAAACGCAAAAAATCTGTGTTAACTGTGTTTCCCCTGGGATAATCTTTGTTTCATTTTATCTTTTAATCCTCCTGCTTTAACGGGTTTGATTTCTTGTTTTCGAACATCTTGTTTCTTTTTAAATTCTTTCATTCTGTAATAAAATCATTAAGATCATTATTATTATCATTATCATTATTATTATTATTAAAATCATTGTAAACGAATTTTATTATTTTACTTTTCTTTGATGAGTCTCTGTTGTTCTTTTTTCCAAATATCTTTAAAATCATTTGAAAATGGCGCCCATATTGAAAAAAATTCTTTGACTTCATCATCAGTCTTCGACTTAAATTGGTAAAAATTCATTGTCGCTTTAAATCTGCGTGAAAATTTGAATGAATTTTAATATTTATAGCAGTCAAATTATTATTATTATTATTATTATTATTTATAGGAAAACTCACTTGATTTTACATTCTTCTAAATTTTCAAATTCTCCCGATATTTGTTTTTGTGCTCCGGATAAAAAAGTTTCCATTTTATTTTTAAAGGGTTGAAGGTTGTCATCCGTGGATGCGTTTATGACTTTTTCCGTTTTATTTTGACAAACTTTTAATTCTTTTTCCAGTTTCTGCAAATCAGTTTTGATTTCGTCAAAATTAACAACGGACGCTCGATTGATGTCGCCGGGTTCGGGAACGGGAAGAGCCAAATCCAAATTCAAAGGATCATCTAATTTTTTCATGTAAGTTCTCACGATGAAATGTAACAGGGTGAACGAACTGTCTTTGCTCCTGACGTCTTTTAACTTGGGTAATATTTCGATGCCGAAACCGTCGGCTTGACCCCTCGTTAAATTTCCACCGTTCATGTAATTTCCCAACGCAAGTATTATGGACATGACGGATTTGACGCTTTCCGAACTCAACAGCATTTGACACGTTGATTTTAAATTGTTCAATTTGCTGTCGAGTGCATTTATGTTGTCCTCGTATTCGGATTGAAACATGAAACATGCGATTCGTTCGGCAAAATTTGGAATTTCCGATAATTCCAGTAGGAAATGTTCGGGTTTGTCGAGCGGGATTTCCGGATTTAATCGAACGTGTTCTTTTATTTTTGACAATTCTTCTTCCGTTGCTCTCTGATTCGAAGACAAAAAATTCAAAAAGTGAGAAGATGCATTTTTTTATATATATATATATATATATATAAGATAAGTTGAGTTTATTTAACTTACCACTTCGTATATGTGTTGCAACGCTTCCAAACTAACAACGGACGTGTCGAAATGATAAATGGCATTTTCTATTTCGGAAAAATCAATGTGAAGGCTCGATGATAAAATGCCGACGTTTTGAGATCTTTTACTATCGAGAATTTTAGCCGGTTCCTGTTTCGAATTATCCTGAGTTTTTTTCTTCGTCGGCTTCTTCGTGACGACTTGCCTCGAAAACAATTCGTTGAATTCCGAATAATCTTCGATTTTGGCTTCTTCTAATTTTTCCCATAAAGGTTCGAGAGGCGTGCCCTCGGGAGAACTGAAGATTAAAAACATGCCACGTAAAAAATGGAATAAAATCAAATCGGATATTGTAAATGAATTCGCTTACTGTAATTCTTTGACTTGTCTGTGAACAGGCACTACTATTCTGGACCAGTATAACGGTTTCATGGGAACGGCAGGATTTACAGGTTTTTTTCTCAATACTGAAACAAAAATATGATGGAAGCGTGAATTTTAATAATTGTAGAGTTTACATGAAAGTATATAAACAGTATTTAACCGATGCTTAGTTTTTTTTTGCAAGGAAAATCATCATAATAGAAGAGAGAAATAGAAAAAGAAAGAAAAAATATATATATGTGCGTGTGCAATACTTACGCAACGTTTTGTAATAACTTGATAAAGCATGCGATTTCATCTCTTACCTGGATATTGGAACCCACAACCACCAGACACCTCTACCAAAAGAAAATAAATACAGGAAATTTTTTTTAAGATTTAAAAGTTTACACACAAGAATAATAATAATAATAATAATAATAAATGATTATTTTGATAATGTCGAGAGAGGAAAACAGGAAATGCTTTTGCCATACAGAAAGTGCTCATCAGAATTACTAAGATTTAAGATGCAAGTTTTTTTTTTTAAATTTAATTTTATGTAAAACTACACATAAAAAAAAAAAAAAAAATCATCATTAAGGTGTTTCACACATATATTTTATACGTTACAAAACAAGTCTACGGCTTATAAATTCAATCTAAACAAAAAAATCTGATGATGGCACTTTCGTTTATTTTAATATAACAAAAAAAACTTGCGCATGAAATGTTGGAGAGTAAATGTTGGCACATTCACATTAAAAAAAAGTTTTAAATAATTGCTCACCTGCTCTTTGGGCGTTCCAACCACCTATGGGAGGAGCAGGAAATGGAAGAGGAGCACCACCACCACCACCGGGTGGAGGAGGAGGAGGTGGAGCGGGTCCACTTGATGACATTATTGGTGGCGGCGGCGGCGGTACAAATGTTGACCCCGTGTCTAAAGAATTTGATAAAGGAGTTGAAGACATTGAAGAATCTGTAAAACCTGACGGTAGAGGAGGCGGAGGCGGTGGTCCTCCTGATAGTGAAGGAGGAGGAGGTGGTGGTGGTGGTGGTGCTCCTGCATTAAATAGTGAAGGAGGAGGAGGAGGTGGTGGTGGCGCTCCTGAAATAGGTAACGGAGGAGGAGGAGGAGGTGGTGGTGGCGCTCCTGAAATAGGTAACGGAGGAGGAGGAGGTGGCGATTCTCCTAAATTAGGTAATGGTGGAGGAGGTGGCGGTGGTGGTAGTGATACTCCTAATTCAGGTAGTGGAGGAGGAGGAGGAGGAGGCGGTCCTTCTAAATTAGGCTGACGGGAAGGTATAGGCGTGGAGTTTGAAACATCTGTAAAAGACTTCGTATCTACTGTCGATATCGTAGATGAAATTTTCGATGATTCTTTAGGGGATGACGGTGAGGATGAGGATTCTAAAGAACCTGGAATTTTTTTCATTTCAGACGAACATTTTCCATTTGATAAATTATCAGACGGTGGTGGTGGTGGTGGTGATGATGGTGTCTTAGAAAGTTGCGGCGGCGACTTTTGAGCGTTTTGTACAATTGATTCAGACTTCACCATTATCGAATCTGCAGATATGAGTTTTTCCGACACCCCCACTTCTTGTTCATCTATGAAATGTTGCGATGACAAATATTCTTCCTTTTTAGGACTAACGTCCAACTTTCCATTTGAAGTTGGTTTTTGATTATGAAAACCATTTATTTCCTTGCCGCCGCATTCTTTATTAACACCGTTTTTCGTGTCATCATCATCACCACTTTCTAAGCAGATTACACCATCATTTGTGTTTTCCACGTTATTTATATTTCCATTTAATTTTTTCTTTTTTAACAGTTCTTCTTTTTTATTAAAGCATTCATTTACATGACTAGAAGGTATTGACTTTGCACTATCAAGGGCACTATTCGGACTAGGTCGATTTGTGAAATCATTATTTTGTTTTTTATCATTTGAATTAATGTCATTATCACGAGGGAACGTATTCTTTTGCACATTAGATAATTTTTCATTAATTAATGTCGGCGATGAAATGAGTTCATTTGTTGGCGAACCAAAATCTTTAATTGTATTATTTGTTAGCGACTGAAACAAAAAGAAATCAATAGATGATAAATTCAATAAACCACGATAAACATAACTTTGTCGTTATTGTTGTTTGTTGTTTGTTGTTTGTTGTTTGTTTGTGTTTTATCAAACCTGTATATCGGCTAATGTTTTTTGCTTTTCTAATTCTTGCGTCAACCTTTCGACGGTTTCCTCCAACTCTAGAATTTTTTTCTCATACTCGTGTAAAGTGTGTGCATGTTCTCCTCTCATTTTAAATAATTTAACCTCTTGACCCCTTGTTAATCTCGTTATGTTTTCCTTATGTTCTTTTTTCAAACCTATGACGACTTGTTGAAATTCTGAAAATATATATATATATACCCAAAAAAAAAATTAAAAACGTTACTACTAGTACTACTACTACCACTACTACTACTACTGCTACCACTACACTTACAGGCGTACCACTCTAAATTACATTCCAAAAAAAAAAAAAAAAATTAACTGGAAAAGTAAAAAAAAAAAAAAAACAAAACAAAATGTTGGCGCCATTAATAATCCTCCCGGAAATTATGATTCATTATTAAATTAAAATTTTTTATTTTCGAAAAAAAAAAAAAAATAGTTTTTAGATAAAGCATAAATTTTGATTAATCGAAACAAAAAAAAAAAAAAAAAAAAAACTTTATAAATAATTAATCATTTAAATCGATTTAAATGTATTTTATCATTATTATTATTATTTATCGTGCACGCGTTAAAATAATAATAATAATAATGTAAATGTACAAAATAAATCGTGTTAAAAAAACAAAAAAAATAATTCATGCTCTAATTTAGAAAAAAAAAAAACAAAATGGCGGCAAAATTGATTTCTTGTTGTTTTTTTTTTTAATAATTCGGTGACTGATTGATTGATTGATTGATTGAATTGTAATTAGTTTTACCTTTGAGCGGTAAAATTTATTATTATTATTATTATTTCCCCCCCCCCACAGAATTATCATAAAGTATTTGAAATTGGAAAAACCGTTAAAATTAAAAAAAAAAACTATGCAAAATGCAAAAAAGACAAATCTAGCAGAAAGCATTTGTTTTTTTTTTTTTTGTTTTCCTACAGCATACGACAGAAATAAAATACCTTCCGTTTCGATTTTTCTAATCGCTTTATCAACGCTTCCTGTCGAAGCCGTTATTTGATTTTCTTTTTCGAACGGCGATTCTACAATTGAAAAAAAAAAAAAAGAAAAACAATAATAATAATAATAATAATAAAAAATGGTAGAATTGCTGTTGTTCGAATTCATTAAATGGTATAAAAAAAAAAAAAAAAAAAAAAACAGACCATCTTTTTGATACATTATCTATAAATTTTACAGCTTCCCTGATAAGAGTAACAAGACGAGGCGAGATGAGACGAGAAGATGAATAAGAAGAATCGCACGTAAACAAATGAATTACTCAGTGGCGGACACAGGATTTTTATTACCCCTCTGTACGTATAGTAGATTTTTATCATTGAAATGAATACACCATTATCGACACCAATTTATTATTATTATTATTATTATTATTATTATTTATTTCTATATTTGGTGCCGAAATTTTTAATTAAAAGAATGAATAAAAGAAAAGAAACAAATGGATGTTAGGTAATAATAATAATAATTGGGCCAAGGGAACGCACAAAATGATTATTATTATTATTATTATTATGAATAAAATCAATTTTGATAACGATTGACATATTATTTCAGGTATTTCAATGATGAAGACAGAGAGAGAGAAAGTCGTGATAATAATAATAATAATAAATTGGATTTACCAGCTTCTGTGTAACGTGCTCCCGGTCTACTAGGCGTCGTCGTCGTCGTCGTCGTCACGTCATTTCCGGATGAAAATGATGACCACATACCGGTTGATAAACGTCTCGGAGTTGGCGGAGATGCTGCCGGTATTTCGGTGTGCGCCCAAAAATACATGAGATCAGGCTGAAGGTAATTAAATAAGTAAATAATTATCATTAATAATAATAATAATAATAATAATCGATTGGAAAGGAAAATGGTTTCGTCGTTACCCTGAAAATAGTTGCGATGGGTGCATCTTTGTCGGGTATCTGACGTAGTACACCCGCGGCCAACATGTGCGTGCAAAATTGTGTGACTAAAATTTTGAGATCTTGCGGTGCGAGTATCATTCTTAGATAATGATCTTCGGGAAAAGAAGACACGTACCAATTGACGAGCTGTTGACCTGAAAACAAAAAGTTAAAATTATTATTTGCGTGCCTACCGAATGTTCTAGAACATGAAAAAAAAAAAAACGAAAACGGTTTCTCTTTTATCTCACCGTGATTAACATCATATATTTTAACGATGTCTTCTTTACCCAAATCAAAATATTTATTATGATACCACATTTGATTAATAAATAACAACAACAAAGACAACGATGATGATGATAATAATAATAATTTACCACAAAAAAACACGAAAAATTTCACGTATATTATTATTATTATTATTATTATTATTATTATTATTATTATTATTATTATTATATGTACGTTAATCAGTTTTTTTTTTTTTTTTCATACGAAAATCATTTTATACGTTTATAATATTATTTACAAGTTAAAAAAAAAATAATAATAATAATGCATCGTTAAAATAATAATAATAATAATAATAATGACGATTGTGTAACTTCGATTTACTATAAATTTTATTATTATTATTATTTATTTTTGACATGGCGTCGACGTATCTACTTGAAAAGAACAACAAAAAAATAAAAAAAAATTTTTTTTTTTTCCGCTCACACAATTTTGCCACCAACCGTCGTCATTCGTCGCTTTTATAAAAAAAAAAAGTTACATAATTAATAAAAAAAATAAGTAATGATAATAATAATAATAATGATGATGATGATGATGGAATTACATGAGGGAAATTAAAACTGGAAATGATATTATTATTATTATTATTATTATTATTATCAATATGAATCACGACGACAGATTTTAATGTTATATTTTTTTTTTTTTTTTTTGTTTTTAGATATGGGAACGACTCCTACGCGTCAGAAAGAGATAGAGAGAGAGAGAAAAGGTTTTTCAAGGTTTGAATTATTGTTTCGTATAAAAATTATCATAAAATGAGTAACCAAAGACCAATGACAAACGGGCACGCACGCACGCACACACGCACACACATTTCAGAACCAATAGAAAATTAAAAATAGTTATTATTATCATTGCGAAAAATTCAACATTTACACGGTTCACGTCACGGGATTGATTTAGCACAAACAGGAAGAACGATATATCGTATCGATCGTGGGAGATGATTAGCGGGAAAAACGGGAAAAAACGCGTGCGTTTTCACTCGTACGCACAAATACCACACACGCGTTACGATATAGCCGAATTTTCTATAAAAACAAAATTTTCCTCCGAGAGCCGTTTAAAATCTCGTATTTTATTACCGAGAGTAATTATCATTATTATTATTATCATTATTATTATTACTTTTTTGACTTGGTAGCGACGAACGCGCGTGGTAATTAAAAAAAAAAAAAAAAAAAAAAAACATTTATCAATACCGTCCGTCATTAGAAAATAATTTTTTCCGTGGCAGAAGAAAAAAGAAACCGGTAATAAAAATCGATTTAAAATTTTTTTTTTTTTTTCACTTAACACTCGACACTTATTATTATTATTATTATTATTATTATTATTATTATTATTTTATTTTTCGGTTAACGAGTTTTTAAACACACACACGCTAGATCGCGAAACGTTTACATCTCCTACATAGATTTCCTGCTGCCGCCACGAACGACACACAAGTACGACTTATGGGTCATTAATAAATATGTTATGTAAATATTTTATGTTCGTAAACCGAACCAGTTATTCGCGCCATAATTCTTTTTACGTTATTTATTATCATTATCAAAACGATCGCACGATTAACGAAAATAATAACGACAATAACGATGACGACAACAACAACAACAAAAATAGTTTTTGTGTAGGGAACGTGTAATAAGAAAAACGTGGGTAAGGGAAAAAGAGAGAGAGAGAGAGAGAGAACCTGACGAAAGTTAAATGAAAGATTTAGAATAAGAAAAAAAAAAAAAAAAAAAAAAAAATTAAAAGTACTCATTGGGTCGATCGGCCTTCGACGTACGATTTTTACAAAAAAATTTTATTGTGGGCGATTCGGAAACCTACAGAATTTTTTTTTTTTCTTTTTCTTTTCCTGAGTTACAACTGTCAAATTATTATCATTATCATTATCATTACCATTATTATTATTATTATTAATTTTTTTACGTAGTCAAGGCCGTCGAAGCAAATAAAAAAAAAAAAGAATGAAAATTTCTATTGTGTAATTCAAATGATCAAAGGTATTGTGGAAAAAAATAAAGAGAGAGAGAAAGAAAGAAAGAAAAAGAAGGAGAGATTGAAAGAGAGAGAGAGTGAAAGAGAGAGAGAGAGAACTCGGTTACTTTCCGCGCCTTACAAAATGCTTTGAATCGTATAAATTTGCAGGTATAAGTTCTTTTTTCGATTTTGTTGTTGTTGTTGTTTCGTACCTGAAATCTAAAAAAAAAAAAAATTTTTAACAAACGCATTTCGTTTCTTTCCTGATATATATATTTTTCCGTTATTATTATTATTATTATTATTATTATTATTCACGACGATTCGTCTTGTATTTATCGTAATTATTCATTCCAGGTTTCTCATATCTCATCCCTAAGGAATAAAATGCTTGATTGATACAATATCAAATAGTACCACATCAATTCTAATGAGTCTTCCCGAGTCTTCCCATCTCTTATTCCTAAACTCCGGTGATAACAACATCAGTGGAGTAACCAGGATCGGGAATGTGTTCTCAGGTCGACAGAAGAAGAAGAAGAAGAAAAATGGTTATGGGTCTCGTCTTTGTCTTGTTCTTAGTAAAGTCAAAGGTGAGCGATGTTACCAAAAGGTCATCCAAGTCCTTCTCGTTTATTATTATTATTATTATTTTCGTTTCGAACGTGAAAAAAAAAAAAAAAAACCTGTTCGGATTTTAACGATACGTCACATTTCACACGATTGTGAAATCAGACTGGAAAATTTATTTAAATTTCGCTTTTCCCATTCGGAAAATTTTGTAATTTAAAACGATCAATCTCGAACGTTTTGTAAAAATAATCGACAAACCGGAAATGAATACATTTCGACACAATGAGTTTGTCGTAATTAACTCTTTTAAAATTTTATAAATTTCGAAAAAAAAAAAAGATTTTCGTTTCGGTTTCGATCACATTGAACAAACATGCAAATACAACAAACGTTTCGCGTTTGCGTTTGTTTCTTAAACAAAAAACAGAAAAATCCAAACGCGAAAATTTTATGCAAATCAATTTTTTTTTTTTTTTTCGTTTGTCGTTTTCGTTGTCAAAATCGATTCATTTGCAAAAAAAAAACCGTAATAATAATAATGATAATAACTTGTTTGTCGTGTTAATTTAAAAATCGATTGATTATTATTATTATTGATTCCGATCCGACGGACAAGTTAAATTTTGTTATTAAAAACAAACAACAACAACAAACGGATGAAAAAAAAAAAAATTAATTTTTTCGTAATACGAAATTTTACGCGAATACCTGAATTTATCCCCCTCCCCTATTTTTTTTTTTTAATTAAAATTGTATTCACTTTAACGTCATTATTATTACTTTTTTTTCAGACGACAAAAAAACGAACAAACAAACAAACAAACAAACAAACGAAAACAATTATGCGAATAAATAAATAAAACATAAAAACGAGAACAAAACGGAAAACACTAAATAATGTTAATGTTTAATTGATATGCTTGATACTAATGATGATATGAAAACAGTGGGAAACTTGTGTTCACGAATTTTCAGGTACGTTCAAAAAGTACCTTACGAACCTTATTTTTTTTTTTTTTTTGAATATTCTTTAAAAAAATTTTAATTTTATTAATTTTTTTTTAGAGTTTTCTACGGTGTCGAAGAATGGATAAAATTATCGATTCCATTGTTTGTTGTGTGTTGTTTTTTCGAATTGTGTCAACTCGAGGATGTTAAATCACATTACACGGACATTTTCCGATTCATGAGAAAGAGATGGAGATAGAAAGAGATGAGGAGAAGGAGAGAGAAAGAAAAGGTAATAAATAAATAATTGAAATTATCCGTGACGTAATAATAAACAAATCGGTGGTCAGTCGGTGTTTATCAATGAAAAATTTTATGCGAGAGAGAGAGAGAGAGAGAGAATAAAATTAGGGAAAATTGTTATGTCCTCTGACCTGAGGGGAGGTGTGGGGAGACAAATAAAAAATTAATTTGCGACAAAAATTGTTAAGAAAAAAATACGCGAGATGATTTCCATTCGAATTCGATAAAAACGATCGATTGGGTAACGTTTATAATTTTTTTTTTTTTTTTTGGGGAGGTATCAAACGGTATTGTGAAACGTCGGGAGTGGGGGGGGGCAGTAGAGGGGGCGAAATGAATTTTTTTTTTTTTAAATTCGTCGTCTCATTGCGAACGTTTTGATTATGGCAACGAAAACGATAAGGCAACCTCCGTTCCAAATATAATTTTACACGCACACACACGCATTCGATGGAAATAAATGGGAGCAACGGGGGGTCTTTTTGAAGGGGGTCAAATCGAACATTTGTGAATATTAATTTTTTACCACTACTTAAAACGACGGTCGGTTACGAAAAAAAAAAAAAAAAAAAACAACCGTGATTAATAATGATAATAATAAAACGACGTTTGCGGTTCGATTTAAAAAAAAAAAAAAAATGGTTTGTGCGAATCATTTATCTTCTGACACGTTTATCGGTTTTTGTTCGTTTTAAAATTTTACACCCACGCATTTCACGTCCTTACCTTCGAATTTTTCGTAAAGTTGAAAATCTAATTTTTCAGGTACGAATTTCGGTTTGTTGATTTTATTTTCTATCGTGTTTTTTTCCAACGTTAAACTTGCAACCTTTCTCAAAACGTTATTTTCAACGGGTACTTCGCTCACAGACGAATACCTACGAAGGTGACTATTTTGAGACGTTGATATCATAGTTGCCGGACCTGAAACACAACAACAACAACAACCAGACGAATTAAAAAATAATAAACTGGCACTACAAAAAAAAAAAAAAAATTTGTCTGCAAACTAATAAAAATCGTGCCGGTCGAGAAAACAATTACAAAACGATAATAATAATAATAATATTATTTTAAAATGGGGAAAAAAACGTTTAGCCATTCGATTTCGAAAAATTGAGTTTTTTTCTTTTTGGAAATTGTTTCTTTTATGTTCGATTGTTTTTCCAGAAAGAAATTTTATTATAAGGGTTTGATTTTTCAGTTGATGTTTTTCATTTTTTTTTTTTTTTGCAGTTTCGACGACGATTGTAAAGTTAGTAAAAGGACAGGGAGTAGGAATGTAAAAAACGAATGGAATAAACCCTAAACAGAACAACAACAACAAACAACAACCGACATGCGTTCCAAAAAAACATCTGCCTACACGTATAATAAGAGGGTTGGTGGTTTCGTAACCGAAAAAAATACCAAAACGAGGTTAAAATTTTCAGGTAAGCAAAAAAAAAAAACATGTAGGAATTAATTAAAGGTAAAAAGCATAAAACGAATTCCCTCCCCCTCCCCCCAAAAAAAGGTTTATCGGTTTTTAAGGTTTTGCTTTTTTAAAAAGAAAAAATTAATAGGAAGAAGGGATTTAATTTTCGAAAGGACGTGTCCACGTGTGTAATAATAATTAAATAATTAATTTTATTGACGTCACGACGATTTACAACAAAATAATAATAATGATAATGATAATGATGATAAATATTTTCACTTAAATTTTTTTTTTTTTTTTTTATTTTCAAATATGCAACTTCAAAATTTTAACGTTGCGCGGTTTGCATAACTAAAAATTTTGTTAGGCGTTTTGTTTGTTGTTTGTTTTTGTTTGTTTTTAAATCAAAGTGACTTTAAAAAATCATCATTATTATTACCATTATTATTATTATTATTATTAAGTAAACGAACAGATGCGTGTGAAATTAAAAAAAAATAATAATAATAATAATTCACCTGCGTTCTTGTTAATTTTATAAGAAAAAAAAAAAAAAACTGCGACGCGTTTTTTTTTTTTTTTACGTTAGAAATAACAAATAATTAAGTAATAATAATAATAATAATAATAATGATGATGATGTTGATGATAATGCTGTTATACGACGGCTTTTTACAAATTAAACACTAACTACCGAATCATTTCGCGTATTAATATTATTATTATTATTATTATTATTATTATCACATAATTAAATCAACGACGACGACGACGACGACGACGATGATGATGATGATGATGATGATGAAAAAAAAAAAAAAAAAAAAAAAAAAAAACATTTTTTTTTTCATAACGGTTTCACACTATAATAACAACGCGAACGAACGAGTTTTTCGACTTATTCGTGAAAGAAATAAAATAATAAAAAAAAATTATAATAACCGTTAAAATTAAAAAAAAAAAAAAAAAAATTATCAAGTAAATGTTTTTAAATCCATCGTCGTCGTCGTCGTCGTCGTCGTCGTGATATATCTTTAACGGGTCAAAAAGATCAAACGTAAAATGAAACTTTTGTACTACTTGATTGAAAAAACGCGTGTTCATGTGTTGCACGAGTCAACATAAAAAAAAAAAAACATTACGATATGTTTGTTATTTTGCCTCCCATTTTAATGGCGTAAACGTCATCATCGGCAAAGGATGATTCGTTTAACTCAGGTTACAATAAATGTAACGAAAACAAAGAAAACGGGAAAACGGAAAAACGGAAAAACGCATGCGTTGGAAAATGGTGACAATGAAAATAGAAAAATAGAAAAAATTTGCATCGTTAATTCGCACACGTAATTAATTCAATTCGAATTGAATAAAGAAAACACACAAAAAGAGAAAACGTGTGCAAACCTGAAAACATTCACGCTCGTGAGAAACCGGAAACGGTTGGGGAAAATGAAAAAGAAAAAAAAAAATATTTAAAAAATGCTGCCGTCGTGTGAAACAATACAAAATTTTTAAGTTTTTAATTTAAATTTTTCCTTTGTTTTTAGCCGTTCGAAACGTTCTAACTATCCACTCGAACGTTCGGGTACCTAAACGTTCGGGTACCTAAACGTTCAGGTACTGGTCTCTACCGTCGGGAACGAAAAAAAAAAAAAAATCTTTGCCAACTTGTGAGTAAAATTTTAATTTTAAATCAGTTTTAATTTATGCTTAAGATCAACACAATAATAATAATAATAATAAAGCAGCAAACTGGTAGCAGACGAAAAAAAGAAAACAAAACAAAACCTTAACCGAAGAAGCTGAGATATTATTATTATTATTATTATTATTATTATTATTATTTAAAAGTTACGTAATAACATATTTATATATTAATTAAAAAAAATAAAACAAGAAACAAAACAACAATTGCAATAATAATAATAATAATAATAATAATAATAATTGTTATGTTGATGAACGACAAACAATATGTTAAAGGAAAAAAAATTATTATTATTATTATTATTATTATTATTATTATTATTATTATTATTATTATTATTATTTTTCAATGAGTTATTGTTATTATTATTATTCCGAAAGAACAAAGGGGTTGGGGTTGGGGGGGTGCGGAGGGAAGGGAAAAAGGGCGGGGAAAATGAACTTCCGTTGTTGTTGTTGTTGTTAATAAATAATAATAATAATAATAATAATAATAATAACAAACAACAAACGAACCCACACGTGAAACACAATTTGAACACACAAGTATAATTAGAGGAAGTTATGGAATATAATAAAAAAAAAAAAATGTGGGCGAATGCACTTGTTTCGAAAAAAAAAAAAAAAAAAAAAAAAAAAGATTACACAGGAAGTTGTCTCGAATATAAAGGTGTCAATTTATACCTGAAATTTATTTTCCATCTCTCTCTCTGACACTCTTTTGTTTCCGTTTCGGTTGGAATGTTTTGAAAAAAAAAATTTGAAATAGAGAGAGAGAGAGAGAGATTTAAAAAAAAATTTGATTGATTGATTGATTGAAAAAAAAAAAAAAAAAATTTTTTTATGTATGAAATCGATGATGTATACGAAGCGTTTGTTGTTGTTGTTGTTGTTGTTGTTATTAATCAAACAATTAAATTTATTTAACGGGGGGAAGGAGGGAGGGGAGGGGCGGGATACAATGATTGTGTTAAGGAGCGGTCGATTAATGTCAATTTTTCGTTCGTTAAAATTTTTTTCATTTTTTTTTTTTTTTTTTTTTTACCCCATTAAAAAAAAAATTTTTACGCATGGACGTGCGTAAATGTGCGTGCGTGCGTAAAAGAAATGAAATGAAATGAAAAAACCGGAAATTAATTGAATTGCATTATCCCGACGGGATTTACAAAATTTCCCTTTTGTTGCGTTATTGTTTATTATTATTATTATTATTATTATTATTATTATTATTATCATTATTATTATTATCATTATTATTATCATCATTATTATTAGTGGTGATTTAACTGGAATAAATTTAAAAAAAAAAAAAAAAAAAATGTTTTCAGGTCGTTTGTTTTGACAAAATGAGGAAAGGAAACAAAAAATTACAAAATGTCCGACGACGATTGTTTGTGATGACGTCATAATTTAAAAACCACTTGTGTTGTTTATGAGATGTGCGTAGGAGTGGAAAGAAAAAAAAAAATGTTGGTTGTAAACAAACCGACGACGACGACGACTACGACCTGTGATTCGATAAGGTAAATGAAAAAATCAGGATTGCCAAAAATTGAAAAAAAAAAAAAAAATTTTATTCTGTCATGTTTTGCTCCCTGGGAAATTCCAATTTTTTTTTTTTTGCCTAAAAATGTTAATTAAAAAAAAAACATTTGGGGAAATCATTGCTAACGTGGGAAATTTTTACGGGGGAGGAGGGGGGGGGCAGGAGGGCGACGGGAGGGTGACGGGAAATTGATAAAGAACGTGTTGAGTGATGATAACCTCACCGGAAACCCTTTGATATGAGTCTTATCATAATTCGCGATTACGTTGCAAATATTCCGACATGAAATTTTTTTTTTTTTTTTTTTCACAACTCGTTTTTAAATTTTTGATGAAAATAATAATGATGATAATAATAATAATAATAATAATAATAATAGTAAAATATATATTAAAAAAAATTTAATTTACGTGTGTTCGAGAGTCACGCTAATGAGTTTTTTTTTTTTTTTTTTATTACTTCCAACACTTTAAATTAAGTGTAACGTTAAAAAAACTATTAAAAAGAAAAAAAAGAGGGGAGGGGAGGTGAGGGGAAAAAAGAAATTATTACTTAAGTGTTAAAAAAATAATAATAATAATAATAATATTTTTTGTAATGGATTCGATTTTAAATCTTAGAAAGGTAAAAAAAAAAAAAATTTTTAAAAAAAAGAAATAAAATAAAATGATAATAATGACGCCGCCATCGTCGTAAACGAAAAAATAAAATTTTTTTTTCTTCTAATTTTTCAGGTAGCAGACGCTAAACAAAAACAAAAACAAAAACAAGCAGAAACGTTTTCGTTTTCCGACTCCTGCCACGAAAATATTAAATTTATATAAGGCGTTTGTTTTGCACACGTTTCGTCATTGCAATTTTTCACATGGCGTCGATCGGCGACTAATCGATCGTACCATGATTTAAAATTTTATTATTATTATTATTATTATTATTAATTTAAAAATAATTTAACAAACGTTTGGGGATAACAAAAAAGAAGAAAAAGAAGAAAGAAGAATAAGAAGAAAGAAGAAAAAGAAGAAAGAAGAAGAAGAATAAGAAGAAAGAAGAAGAAAATGATTACGGCATAACCTCTCTCTCTCTCTACATGTGGAATGCTTGTTCGTCTTTATTTTATTTTTTTTTTAAAAGAAGTATAAGCGAAAATCTGGTAAGTAACGGAAAATTTTATTTATTTATCATCATCATCATCATCGTCATCGTCATCATTATTATTATTATTATTAATTTTTTTTTTTAGGTACAATCACGACGTGAATTTTCTCATACATTATTTTTTCTACTACAACATTTTTGTAAGTACCTATTTGCTTTATTTATTTATTTTTTTTGACGGTTTTCCCGACCCCATTCGAACATTTTGTTTTTGTATGTATTTTTTTTACGTAATGTCCGAACTACATCAAGGTCGAGGTCACGTCACGTTTTCGCGTATGACAAAACGAAACGTTTTATTATTATTATTATTATTTTTTTTTTTTTGAGGGAAGGGGGGAGGGGGGAAGGAAGGGAAAGAAATTCACAATGTTTATTTATCCTAACTTTTTTTTTTTTTTTCGTTTCGTTTTTTTTTTTTCCCACGAACCGACATTCAATTCGTGCAATTATATAGTTTTTAAGTACCGCCGCCGCCCCGCGCCGCGCCCCCCGCCCCCTCCTCCACTCTGGCACTTTGTTTCTTTACTATTATTATTATTATTATGGTTGTTGTTGTTGTTGGTTTTCGTTCCGCGGTGATCTTTGTAGGGTTTTTTGCAAATGAAAAAAGGTCGTAGGTCGTGCGGTCGTCCTATCATTTTTTTAGATTATTTTGGGTGGGGGGAGGGGGGGGAATCGTAGAAAAAGTTTGATTTTTCCGTGTTGTTAAAAGCGTTAATTGATTATTATTATTATTTAGTTAAGTTAATAATTTTACACGCACGCACTCACTCACTCACTCACTCACTCAGGCACCTGTCTCCCCATCTGCCATTTTCTATTTCTCTCTCTCTCTTTCTCTCTTTCTCTCGAGGGCGCGTTAATTGAATTTTTTTTCTTTTTTCGCCTGTTAATTTTCGTTTCTACGACGACGACGACGATTTCGTTTTGCTATTATTATTATTATTATTATTATTATTATTGTTTTTTTACGCTTCGAAAAATTTTAAAGTGTGGAAATGAGGTCGTGGCGCCGAACGGCACGTATGACAGAGTCAATTCGTAACGTGAAATGATTGAAAAGGAAAAGGTACGAGGTAATGTGTGCACGTAGTCGTGACCTTTTCGGAAACAGGCATACACATAGGAACGATCGGACGAAAGAATCGAAATAATAATGATGATGATGATAATAATAATGAAAACAATATAACGAGACCTCATTTCGGCGGCATCGACGTCGGTTAAGATTCGGCATGGAAACGTTAAGATGAGAGAAATACTTTCCAGATATCCACCAAACCGTGAATCACGTAAATAAATTGATGATATGTTCTTTACTCGTATTCTAACATCATCATTATCATCATCATTATTATCATCATCATCATCATCATCATCATCATCATCATCGTGGTCGTAATCTAACGGTGTTAAATTTTTTTTATTTTATTTTATTTCGAGATTGAAAGTTATCATTTGTTATTCGAGAGCAGTACATGGAAGTTATTCATAAATTAATAATGATGATGATGATGATGATGATGGTGGTGTTGATGATAATGATAATTAAAAAAAAGGGAGGGAGGGGGGGAAAATGAAAAGGTTTTGTCAGATAGGATTTTTTAATTACTTGCTGACGAAGAGGATTTATTTGTAATGTGCGTGTGCGTGAGTGTGCGTGAGCATGAGCATGTACTTACTCGTGAGAGGTTCCAAATCGACTTTCTTGTGCTTGTGAAGAGTGAATGACGTTGGCCTTTGACACGGTGCAGACGCATTCGAAATGCCACCCTCTGACAAATCGTTCGGATCACGTTCGGGTTTGTCGGGACCAAGAGTTGCGGAATCTTCTTCCGTGTCCGTGAGTTGTTCGTCGATGAGAGTGACGTCTTCGAGAGAAGACGTTCTCTCGAAATCTTCGGTTTCTTGTCTCTGAGATAGGGTCGATGTTTTCGATGTCGTCGAACTTTCGGATCGGTCGACAATCCCATGATGATTACGATGATTTTGATGATCCTCCTCCGATATTTTAGCGTTAACGAGTGCGGCGAAACCGTTCGGAGTCAAAGAATCCGTAAATATGCTTTCGGAACTCGATTCGCGGCTTTCCGGTGATAATTTTTTATGAGTCAATGGGTCATTATTATTATCGTATGTTGAGGAAACCTGTTGGTTCCACGACGATTCGGACCTGATATAGTAGTTAACATCGGAAATCATGTTCACGGCCGTCTGTGCCGCCGGATCAACCTCCACTGAGTTCACATTTCCGTTAGGTCCGGTCACGGTTGGATCATCGGCTCCCACGATATCCTCGGGCGAAACAACTTTTTTCTCTTCTGCTTTTTCTTCTTCTCGACATGTAATATTCAAATATTCATCTTCGGTTTTAACTTTTTTAATCGATGTTGATTTCGTATCGGTTTCGGCTAAATTTTGAATCGTCGACGTCGTCGGCTGCTGCTGCTGCTGCGACGGCAGCGGCACCGGCACCGGCGGCGGCGGCGACACCGTCGATGTCGGCGTCGACTTCGAATCTTTAACCAATGTTTTTTTCAATAGGAAACCAGTCTTTTTTTTCGCCGGACTTTTACCGCCGCCGCCGCCGCCGTCTTTATTAGCCCTACGACTATCACCCGTTTGTAAATTACCCATTTCTTCTTCTCCTTGTTCCTGTTGTTCTTCTTCCGTTAGATGACCGGAAATGGATTCTTGGTTTTTTTGATTAGTATCCGTTCCCGCATCTTCCGACCCGTATAATTTTTTCAACGAAAATTTTAATAAATTACTAAAAAAGGTTTTTACGTTCGATTCGACGCAAACGGGTTGTTGCGATATATCGATATCATCGTTCGATTCCGAATTTCCTTTTGTTATTTTCGCGACACCGTCAACTTTACTCGTCCAAAATTTATTTTTCGAACATTTCGTATCAATTTTGTCATCTTCGCCCCCCCTTGTTATAATCGGCACACCGTTTACTAAATTTGTATTGTTTTTATTTGACACCACCACCACCGTTGTTGTCGTCGTCGTCTGCGTCAACTTATCATTATCACAATTATTTATTTCATTATTATCATTATTAATATCAAAAAAAAATTGATTTTGTTGGTGTTGCTGTTGCTGTTGTTGGTGCTGTTTGTTGTTTTTATTTAGATTTATTTTTTCGCGATATCCATTGTTGTCGTCTAAAAAGCGCAAGACTTTTTCTGTTGTCGAGCATGCGTTTTCCGTAGTAACGCGACGCCCATCGTCTCCCAATTTCTCTGTTAAGAAAAACACACACGAGAACAATCAATATCAATTGGTGCCAACCGTTAAAACGAAAAAATTTTCTTACGTTGACGATTGTCAAAAAAAAAATTTAAAGCAATTTTTTTTATACCCTCGGGACGAACCATCGTTTGTTTGTTTGTTTGTTTGTTTTTTAAAGGGAATTACAAAAAAAAAAAAAAAAAAAAGGGAGGAGTAAATTTATGTGATTTTTACCTACCGGCAAACAAACAGTTTTTTTTTTTTTTTTTAAATAAATTTAAAAAGTCAAATCAAGTTTATGGAAACAACAAAATATTTTTTGTTAAACGAAAATTACAAAAAAAAAAAAAAAAAGAAGCAAGCTTTAACAACAAACAAACAAACAACGACGAACAAACGTACAAACAAAATTTTTAATTTTTTTAACGGAAAATAATTATGCAAGCTCATTCGTTTCACCCAATCGCGTACGCAAATTTTTTTAAACTTTTTTTTTTTTTTACACCCCCGAACAAACAAACAAACAAAAAATGACAAACAAACGAACAAACGAAATTTTTAATTTTTTAAAAATTTTCTTTTAACGAAAAAAAAAAATTATGCAAGCCCATTCGTTTCACCCAATCGCGTACGCAAATTTTTTTAAACTTTTTTTTTTTTTTACACCCCCGAACAAACAAACAAACAAAAAATGACAAACAAACGAACAAACGAAATTTTTAATTTTTTAAAAATTTTCTTTTAACGAAAAAAAAAAATTATGCAAGCCCATTCGTTTCACCCAATCGCGTACGCAAATTTTTTTGAACTTTTTTTTTTTTTTTACACCCCCGAACAAACAAACAAACGAACAAACGAAATTTTTAATTTTTTTTTTTAAATTTTTTTAACGGAAAAAAAAAAAAAATTTATGCAAGCTTATTCGTTTCACCCAATACCGTACGCAAATTTTTTTGAACTTTTTTTTTTACCCCCCCGAACAAACAAACAAACAAACAACGACAAACAAACGGAAAACAAACAAACCTTCGAATTTTTTTTTTTTTTTTACCTACTTTAACGAGAATTTTTTTTTTAATTTCGAAACGTTAGTCGTGAAATATTATTTCTCATTCCTCCTACAACAAACGAACAACAACCGACAACCGACAATCATTTATCACAAAATGATAAACCTTTAAAATAATAATAATAATAATAATAATAATTAAAACTCCATATTAGTATCAAACGGAAACAAAATTAACAACAAAAATTTATTTATTTATTTATTTATTAATAATTAAAAAAAAAAATCTTACCGTGCATTGTAAATCAATAAGTCAATCAATCAATCAATCAATCGATCGATCGATCGTACAAAATATTATTTAAAAAAAAAAAAAAACTTAAATTAGTAATAATAATAATAATAATAATAATAAATTTTTTTTTTTTTCGTCACTCGATTTTTTTTTAAATTTTATTTTAACATCACGCGAATTTGTAAAAAAAAAATTACAAATCAAATCGATATAATCGATAAATTATTAATAATAATAATAATCGAACTTTTTTTCGATTTTTTCGATTTTTTTTTTTTAATACACGCGATCGACGAGATCAACACCGAACGAACCTATGACGTCCAGGTGAAGTTTTTTTTTTTTTTTAAATAAAAAAAAAAAAAAAAAAAAATTCTCGACAAGACGTCTTGTCTTGAACGCGAACTGTGTGTGTTTTTTAATTAAAAAACGGCTTAACTGGTTTTTTTTTTAATAGGAGTTATCATTATTATTATTATTATTATTATTATTATTATTACGACTAGTAGTAGTAGTGGTGGTAGTGGTAGTACGACCTGTAAAAGAGATTACATTTAATTACCTTTGCTGGACGTTAACCTTTTGATATTTATTATTATTATTATTATTATTGAATACGCGAAATTACGAGAGCGGCGGCGACGGTGGCGGTGGCGGTGGTGAAAGGAGAAAGTGCGTGTGAGTGTGGGGGTGAGGGGTGGAAAATAGATAGAAAAAGGGTTTTACGTTGTCGTCTTCTGCTTCTTTCTCTTTTCCTTTTTTTAAATAATTTTTCATGTCGATTCGAGAACGATAAATAAATCGAACGAACGATTAATCGATTTTTCTCGAAAATTGTTTCGAACCGTACGGCGCGATTTTCATTCTGCGACGGGGAAAAAAAATTAATAATAATAATGATAATGATGATGATGATAATTTGTACGCGATAATAATGATGTTAATGGTAAAGGTCTCGTGTCGAAGGAAACGAATGATTAACGGGGTTTGATAAAGAGATTTTAGGGAACCCCCCCCCCGTCGATACTTGTGGGGGTGGGATTAGGAAGGGAGGGAATCGGGGAACGAAATGAAGGAGGAAAAGGAAAAATAATAATAATAATAATTTTTTTTCAAAGGAAAAATTTTCGCATCGTCGCCAAAGGTGTTGTTAAAACGAGATTCCTTATTATTATTATTATTATTTTTTTTTTTATTGGAAAAAAACCGTTAATCTTTATCATCATCATCATCATCATCATTATTATTATCAATTTACGGTTGTTTCCTTTTTGCACGAAACCGCGAATCCGGTCGAGTTATTATTATCATTATTATTATTATTATTATTATTTTTTTTTTTTTTTTACGAGGTGTATGTATGTATATTAACATATGGGAGATTTAATAACGTTCGCGCACGATTTGTATGTTGGAGGGGGGGGAATATATCCTTAGGGAACCGCATCGTGAGTAGAGTGGAGGAAGGGAAGAGTAGGGAAAGGGATCCGTCGCTTTTCAATTTAAAAAAAATTTTTTTTTTTTTTTTTTTTGGGATACGATTCGATTTGATCGCTCGTAGTATTTCTCTCGTTTGTATTTTCATTTTCTAACGTAAACGTACAGGTACAACACCATCATCAGGTACCACCACCCCTATTCTCATCCCCGGCATTTCTTCCCGTTTTTTTTTTTTTTTTCCCCCATTCTTTCCATAAAAAATTTTCTCTCGATTTCCATAAAAAATCAAATTCGTTTCCATTTCCCCTGATTCAGACGTTTTTTTATTTTTTTCGTTTCCGTGTCATTTAATTTGTAACGCGAACGATCGACGCCGTCTGAGTGGATGTGGGGAGGGGGGGCGGCATAAATACGGGGGGGACCCACGTCTTTCATAAAAAAAAAAATCGTTGGATTTATTATTCGTCGCCTGGATAACGGTTCCAAATCATTCGGGGGGTTTTTATTTTTTTTTTGAGGGAGGAGGGGAGGGATTATACTAGGGAAAAAATAATAAAAAAAAAAATTTATTTTACATAAATATATTATTATTATTATTTACACGTACAAAATTGGCCCCTTAAAAAAATACATACAAATACATATAAATAATTATTATTAATATTATTAATAATATAAAAAAAAAATGAGATCATTTACTTTATATCGCATCTACTACTTTATTATTATTATCATTACTTTTTTTTAGGGATTTTTAGGTTTAATAAAACCCCCCCTTCGTGTTACATAAATACATTTAAATTTTTTTTTTTTAAATTTTTTATTAAAAAAAAAATGCTACAACACTAACAGTCTTTTTTATTTTATTTTTTTTGCAGATTGAACAGGTTACTCTGAAATCCGAATTTTGGGTAGGAGGCTACATGGACGTCTCAAGGGGTTGACTCTTACTCCTGCTGGAGAGTGATAGTCCTTCGCTTGGGGGAGGTAAACCGACTTCGAAGACGTCGAAGTTCGTTTCGAGGAGTGCTTCGCTCTTCGCCTTCGGAAGATGACCACCACTACTCACGTGAGTTTTCTTAGTATTATCTTCGTCGTCGTCCACGTTCGTTTCCAAAAGTGATTCCGTCGAGGGTTTACTCTTGGTCGTCGACATGTCGAAGATGCTGTTGTTGCAATCGTAGTAGGTTTGCATTGGAGGAGGATTATTGTAGAAGTAACCGTTTTCGGTGAGTAGTTCGGAATCGGGAGTCGCGACGTGGATCGAACGGTCGTACGTAGGAGGAGTGTGAACGTAATAATTGTTAGGCCTGAAATTAGAGGGGAGGTATTTACCGTTCGGTGGTGGTTGTTGCGGTTGCTCCTGTCGTCCTTGCTGTTGCTGTTGCTGTAGCACTCCTCTCTTCAAATCCGTTATAGAATCCGTGTTCGCGATGCTGGGAGAGGCGAGGGGTAGGGTTCCCGTGTCGTAGTAGTTGTCGTGTCCCGTCGTCGTATCGCTGAGGGCGTTGTCTTCGCGAGATGCAAACGTCGAATTATCCCGGAATCCCTTGTTCTGATACGTCAGGTCGAAGCTCGGTCTCGAAGGACGATGATCCCATTTCGGCGACAGACTCGGATTGTGCGCTTCGTAAATGTCGTAGCTTTGAGTGTCGTCCATGCTCGAATTGTACTGGCATTTCTCCATCGAATCCAAACTCCCGTTCATCATCTTCTTGTAGTCTTTCGTCAGAGTTGTCGGACTGGATTTTTGCGACGACGACGATCCAACGTTTTGACGATATCCGATGTCGCTCAAACCGTTCGTCGAACCCACGGATTTCAGGGATCTGAGTGATTGCCTTATCGAATTCCTCCTTTCCAATCTTTCTTCTCTTCTTTTTTTACACTTGGTGCACCACAAGATGACGATGACTGCCATGAGAAGAAGAATGCATCCGGCGGCTCCGAAGACGGCCAATATCGTCGTGTCGTTTTTCCAAAAGAATAAATTTATCGTGACCGATGGATCGATTTCGCACACGAAGGGACTCAATCGTTCGCAATCGTCGACTTCGATTCGCTGATACGTGAAAACCGTGCATTCTTTTATCTTGTCGAGATGTCGAATCCAAACTCGATCGTAGAATTGAAAATCGTTTTGTTGAGATCGTAGGAACTGGTAGAGGCGTAGGTGATTTCCAAATATGTACGGCATCGTCGCGTTGTTTCCCTAAGAAACGTAGAATTAATTACGAATTGATCGATTCGATCTATCGATAGATCGATAAAAATCTCATTTTTGTACTTACCTCGCAAAAATCTCGGGCGTCTCGAAACGACATCGGAGCTCCCACGTATATCAAACACGTGTCGGTGAACAATTTCCAACCGGGTGGACACTTGTCGTCCAATATCGATTTGTTGCTTTGCAAAAAGGGTTGAAAATTGACTTCGAGCAAATCGGGTTCGTCCAATCGGTCCTTTATTCGTCCGGACACGGCCAAAGTTTCGTTGAATCCCCACCAATTGTGTTTCGCATCAATGGATGTTTTCCAAATGTCCAAACTGCTAAAATAATATTAAAACGTTTATTTAGGTAAAATAATATATTATTAAAACGTGTGTGATACACGTGTGAGATACACGTGTGCGTATAATTATTAGTTTTTGATGTGTCTCTCTCTCTCTCTCTCTTACCTGTCCAAGCCAGCCCTGCGGTGATCATGCAACCGAACGCGAACGAGCGAGAACAAAAAAAAAAAAAAAGAAAAATTAGTTGAAAGCGATTTATTGTGACGAGTGTGTGTGTGTGGGGGGGGGGTGTGCGCGCGCATGTGTGCAGAGGACAAGTTTTAGGGAGAAAAGAATGGAAAAGGCACAAACTTACAGGGATCTGTTGACGGTCACAATTTCATAATCGTTATCCGGATTAAATAAAACGTTATCAACGTAATGTTGTCCAGCCGTTCCAGCCAATATGGTCGCGTGATTTTCGCTATTCATTCCGTAATTGTGATAGAATCCGTTGTGCGACGTGGATTGGTAAATGGGCAAGCGAACTTTTTGAAAACCGGACACTTCCAAAACGTAGGCTCCCCAATTTTCCTGTATGTAATTGTACGTGAAATTCGATATGACCTGGAAAAAACAAATAATAATAATAATTTTCCAGCTCCCACCCCCCCCCCTTGTGACAAGTCACAATCGTCGGGGGGACTCTCACCTGTTTCAATATGATCGTGTTCTCGTAGGGCGCGTAATTTTTCGAAAAAAAATTTCTAAAAACCGTCACTTCTTGATACGCGGAATTTTTCCTTCCTTCCACGTGCAAAACGGGTTTGTTACGATTTTCCGTCCATAAATTATTGTATATCCAACCTTTCAAAGCCGTCGCGGAACCTCTCGAATCCGTTCTCAAATGTAATCCGCCCTGATTTCTCTTAATCAAATTGTTCTGGAATAAAAACCCAAACACTTTAAATCGTCGTCCGCCATTTTGTTTTTCTTTTTTCTTACCGGAAATGGTTTACGTTCATTCGTTTGCTTACCCTAAAGTAAAAATTTTGAGGATTTTGTACGTCGAGTTGTATGGCGGCTTCGCACGTCGTGAAATTACCGTATAAATGTTTACAATTGTTCGTGAATTGATTCCATTCGACTGTGAGTGTCGGATTGACTTCTCCAGCGCTCCGGTAGTCTATGGCTCCACGTTCGTTGTTCGATATAACGGAATACGATATGTTATGTTGAACGTCGCGATCTGTAAACAAAAATCGTTCGATTAGTTTATTCGTATCGAATCGAATCGAATCGAATCGCACTCGAACAGATCCACTCACTGAATCCGATGGCGGATATCGGTAGCGTGACAATTTCCGCTATGAAACCGTGCACGCTACTCGCTCCGTTCGCAAACAATCGAACGCTCAACGAGGGTCCCGTCGTTTTTATCATTTTCTTTCCCAGGGGAGATCCGGATTCGATGGTCGTGAGTAGGGGAGCCGTCACGTTGTATATGCTTCCGTCGTACACGGAAATCGTATCCGGTCTTCCGGGTTTCGTCGTGCTGTTGTAGAGATTGAATTGTAACAACCTGAAAAGTGATGACGTCACAATTAGTTAAATTGTTTTCTTAAAATTCTTTCGTGAAGGTTTTCTACGTCTATCCGCCATACCTGAATCCGAAAGGTTTGACGACGTTACGGAAAATTTTGACGCAATTGACGGGCACGTTGTCGTATTTGTAATATAAAATGACTCTTTCCTCAACCAAAATCTCCTTGTTCGTGTCACACACGTCGACCAAACTGAATATGTGATAGGGTTCCGTTCCTTGTTTCAACGGGTAAAAAGAACTTTCTTCCGAATCTCTTCCTTCTCCGGTGAGCGATAGAACGCTCACTCCAGTTCCTAAATTATTTTGTATGCTGGAAAATCGAGATGGAAATTTTAATTAGGGGAAAAACATGGGGAGGGGGGGGTTTCTTATATTCACCTGGAGAAAAGTAATCTTATGTGATCGCTTGGTGATATCAAATTGATTCCATCATCCGCGCAAAATGTTATGTTCAAATTTGACAAATGCGGACTTTTCACGACGGCTTGAACGGCTGGAGATTTTTCATTGTGTAGTATTCCAGCTCCGGTTATGTTGACGTGTTCCAAAACGCTTTCGCTTCTCTGTGACGTTTCGTGCGTGACGACGTCATGGATTCGATGTTCGTAAAAATTTTGTTCGAATCGTCCGTTGGCAAACCTGCAAGAAGGGGGAAGGAGAGAGGGGGTAAGAAAAATTACAACCCCTAACCACTCGCGTTTAAGAGAAAAAAAATTACCTGATACCACCCCAATAGAGCATGTGTTTGGGTAGATTTCTTTCTCCGCAGTGAACGAAAACAAAATCCGAATTCCAGTAACACTCGTGAACGTGATTATACTGTTGTCCGTTGAGACGTATTTCACACTCTTCGAGTCTGTTTTCATTTCCGGTGCATTGAAGGGGTTCCGGATACGACCAAATCCTCGTGAGAGAATTGGGATGAAATTCCACTCTCGGTCCTAGATCGAATCTCACGTTTATCGAATCGAATCCGATTTCCTTGCACACGACCTGTGCATTTTTTTCCGTGAACCTATCGTCGCAAACGGGAACCCATTGCATCGTCGTACGATTGTAGTATTCCAAAAAACCATAATTGACGGGTTTCGGGGATTCGAGGGAACAATTTTCACCGGCGCAAAGTCGAACGGAAGGAGTGTACAAATTTTCCGATCTTAAATATCTGTCGACCGGATTCGACACGGGCGAAGGTTTAAAAATTATCGGATTGTGTTTTTTACCCCGTGCCTGAAAAAGAAACAAATAAAGTGGGATTAATAAAAAAATCGACGTGGAACGAGATAATCGAATCGGAAAATAATCGACGTACCTTTAGAGTTCCGAGCACTAATATTCCAATGTTTGGTTCGAATTCCATGACGACTCCAGGAGCGATGGTCAAAGTCACGTCCGGCATGACGGTTATGTCTCTCCTTATGACATATGGCTCTTCTCTCGGATATAAAATCAAATCGTTTTTTATGCGTCCTCCGATGTTGTTCGCGTCGAAAACCGCGGGCGTTTCCCACGACACGGAAAGGGATCCGTTCATTTTATCCTCGACGAGATAGGGTCGAAAATTGGCTATGGCGTGATTGTTCCAATCGTCGAAATCGAATATTTTTTCCTTTATGACGTTTATGTCGCTCGAACCCCACCAATTGTGCGTCACGTCGACGTACGTGTCCAATTTGGCCGTTCGAATCCCCGCGATCAATTCGTAGTCGAGAGAATTTCGTCCGAAAAGATTATTGTTGATTCGCACGTGTTGAATGCCGTGGAAACCTATGACGAACGACGGGGATCTGTAGTACTGTTGCAAACCCTTCGACGACAGGAAATTCTGTTGATTGTTTCCCTTGACGACGTTGTACCGAAACGAAGCCGGAACGTATCCCAATATTTCCGATTGACTTTCGATTTTGAATTCGATCATGTGCGACCCGGAATTCCTTTCTATCGTGTTACCATCGACGTTCATGAATTTTTCCATTCCCCTAAACGAAACGAGTCCCGTTTTGCATTTGTTCTCGGTGAAAACGTTGTCGCTCATGTTGAGGACGGCGTAGTGACCGTCGACGACGAACGAAAATTGTCTGTTGCCACGGAAAGTGTTGTTGACGAAACGGAGCGAATGAGTGAAATTTTCGTTGTATTGCCAAACGTAGGGAAGAGTGACTTCGAATCCTCCGTAAATGTTTCTCTCGATGGAATTGTCGTGAAGGAACCAGTGAAATAAATTATTTGATTGTCGAACGTCCCTGAAACAGACATGAAAGGGGTAGTAGACATTTTGTTTTTTTTTTCTCTTTAAAAAAAAAAAAAAGGAAAATTCCTTTTTAATTTTTACTCACCTGCTAAATTGAAAAATCCCTCTTCCGTTATCGATGATGAGAGTCGAATTTATAACGAACGTGATTTCGGATATGTTCGAACGGTGAACGTTCCAATACGGAGAATTGACGTAAACGGCTTCCTGTCGATTGTGTGATATTTCGCAACCGATCATCGTTATCGATTCGTTCGATCGTCTCAAATAATGATCCCCGAATTCGTCCGTGTACCTGTTGTAGTAAGAACACCACAATCCTTTTTCGTTCCCTTTGATTTTCGTGTCTTTTATCGTGAGCGATGAAAAAGCCCCGCGGACGACTCTGTTGGGAACGTTTTGAACGGGAGCGCGAATCGACGACAACATGAAAACGCAACCGCCCAAACCTTTCGATCCGCTCGAATATTTGATCGTTATGCCGAAAGAACTGCTCGTCGTCGGGAAAACCGTTAGATCCCTTTTCAAATTCCACGATTCCGGGGATCCCGATAAACTTTGCGAATCGTAAATGTTTATTTCTTCGGTGCTTCGATTGTGAACGGGATTCAGAAGTTGAATGCCGATGACGTAACCCGGACGAACTCGAACCGTGAACGTTTTTTCAATTGGATCGTTCGTCGTCGAGATTTTTTGAGTTATGACGTAACGACTTTCCGTATCTTCCAGGTTGATGTTGGACGTGTGAGGGACGTAAATCGGATTGTAAATGTACGGATCCGATCTCTCGACGAACCATCCGGCTAATTCTCTCTGTTGTTTTTTCGTCATCGACGGATCGTGACGTATTCCGGCGAATTGATTGTTTTCCAGACTGCTTCCGACGATCGTCATTCCGACTTGTTTGAAACTGATTCCGTTCCCTTTGTTAAAACTGAATTCGGAATTCCTGATCGTGTTGCTCGCACCGGACGAGTAAAGATCGGAATAAATGACGCCCAAACCGTCGTAGGAATTGGAGACGACGCGAACGTTTTCCAAAGAGTGACGAGCGAAATCGATTTGCAATGCGGGTTTAAAAGCGTTCGTCGCGTGATCCAAAAGACCCGCTTTTTCGATGGTGACGTACTGTAGAGTCGTGGGCTCGGAGAGAACGCCGAATCGAATTCCCGCCCAAACGGGATCGTGACATCGTATTCCGACGTCGTTGTCGTGAGAACAAGAACCTTCGAAATCTCCAACCTTTTCCGATTTGCATTTGCTCAAATCCAAATCTTCTTCCGTGCATTTGACGTTACTCAAAACTATGTCTTCGGATATGCCCGCCAATGGGATTTCGCTTCTTTCGAGATACCAATCGTGCGGATTTAAAACGAGACCCAATTGATGACACGCGAGCGCCGCGTTCACGACGTTCCAACCGTAATTGCAAACCGTTCCCCATTTACCATCCACTTTCACTTGCAACCTTCCTTCTTTATCGCTTTTCCCACCCAACAATCTAACGTTCGTATCGTTGTTTTCCTGGGGTCCTCGCGCCAATTGTTCACCTTCGTTTTCTCCTTCGACGGGTTCGATTCTATCTTCTTTCAACGTGAATAGAATAGTGTTGGGACCGTGTCCTCTCGCTTCCAATCGTCCTCCGGCCATCAAACCCACGCTCGGAGAAAATCTGAGGGTGACTCCGCTGTGAAGTGTCAATTTACCACCCGGCCTTATGTTTATGTCTCTTTCCACGAAATACTCTCCGGCTCTTAAACTTTCGATCCCGTCGACTTCACCGCCCACGACGTTCGATCCCGGGTTCCAAAATTGCGGGACGAAAGTGGGATTGACGACGGTCGTGAGCGTGGCGGGATTACTCGAGTGCAAAAGGTACGGTAGATATTCGATCTTTGCCAAATTGTAACGATCCTTTCGGTGAAACAAACGAAAGTAAATTTTTTCCTCTTGCGAGTATCCCAACCAATTGTAGGTGCAATTTATGACTTGACTTTGATCCTCCAAATGACTTCCGATTTCGTATTTGGACTCGTGATTTTGTATTATGTTACGGAAAATGTCGACGTTGCTGGAGGACACGACGACGGGTGCGGACACGCGACTCCTCGGATTCAATCGTATTTTGCCCTCGTCCGCGTATCCCATCCCTCTGTCGAAGGGTTCCTTTATCTTATTGTACCGAACGAAATTTCTCGTGAATAAAATCCTTTGAACGTCGCTGTAGGGCGAGAGACCCAAATTGACGACGTAGACGCCTCTGTTGAATTGAAATTCGTTGAATTGAACGAGCAAATCCGTGGGCATCGATTCGAAATCGTCGTATTGTTCTTCGTATTCGAGGGGATTTTTTATCAATATCCCACCGTACGCGTGTTCGTTTACGTGATTGTACTCGATTTTACCCTTCAAATTCAACGCGGGCACGATTTTAATGCCCAATTTTTCATTTTTGTAAAAAACGTTGTGTCCGATTTGCAAACGAGTGAGCGATGAATTTTTCAACCAGCAAGTTTGAATTTCTACGGCGTTGTCGGATGATTCGTTGAACCAATTTCCGGATATGTTGACGATTGAATCCCCGCAAAAATTTCCCACGAAAACGGACGACAAATCGTTTTTGAATAGTTCGCTGTAGGAAATGATGGTTTCCTGATTCGTCAAAATCCGTTCGGGATTTTTCGTGTCGTTTAACCAAATCGAAATCCCGAATCCCCTGTTGGATGACAAAACGGATTTCGTTATGTTTCTCGTTCCACCCGCGTACGATATGTTGACTCCGTCACCCTGATTGAAAGCTATCCTACTTTCCGTTATGTTTACGTCACCGGCTCCGTTTAAAATGTGGATACCTAAAAAATCAAAAATCAAATCAATCGATTAATATTTAGTTTTTTTTAGGCGCGTCGAAATTTCATTTTTTTTTTCTCTTCTCTTCTGTTTACCGGCAACGTGTTTGTTATTCGAAACGGAGGTTTGATGAACGTGTACGCCGCTGTTTAAATTTTCAACCGCGATTCCTCTTCCGTTATTGTCGACTATCGTACTTCCGGTAACGTTCAAATCGTATCTTTTCGTTTTGCCCGCCGTTATTTTTATATAAATCAATGCTTTCGCGTGAGGTTTGGCTTTGAATGCGACAAACATTGAATTTCCGGTCGTGACGACGGTTTGAGGTCTCGTTTTGTTTCTTACAGGTACGTCGACGAGGAGTGGATCGGTGAAATAAGAACCGTCGTAAACGGAAAGGTTGACGCCGTCGCCACCGTCGCCGTCGTCATTTCCTCCCGACATGGCATAATCAACTTCGAACGTTAAAACTCTATCGGAGGCCGTGCGAAAATTCTACGGGAAAATATTATTAATAATAATAATAATAATAATAATAAAAGAATCGTTATCATCAATTGAATTGTTTTTTTTTTTTTTTTGCATCTCACCTGATAACATTCCTTAGAATTCGGATTGAATTCCGTTTGTTGCATCCAAACTCTTACCGGATACGTTTGACTCGCCGTCGTCGGTATCATGCAAAAATCGTAGAAACTACTCCTGTCGAATTGTTCGTCTTGTGCGTTCTGTTGTTCGTGTACGACGAAACGTAGTCCGTCACCTCCGTTGTCGGAAACAATCGTGTTACTTATCAAAACGTCACCGTATGAACTGTTCAAGAAAATCCCGTGACCCCTGTTACCCCGAACCGTTGAATTTTTCAATACGACCGGTGATTTCGGTAGTGTTATGTTTATACCTGTTCCCGGGGGAAAGATTAGTTTCTCATAAGCAATTAAAGGAAAATGATAATAATAATAATTAATACCATTATAAGCCGAGTGGAAAACGTTAATGGACACCATTACGGGTGGTACACCGACGACCGTCACCGCGGACGTTGCATTATAATCCCTTCCGGATCCCGCATGGAGTATGTCGACGTTTTCCAAAACGGATTTCGATTCTGGAACGTATAGAGTGTTGGATTCTTTCAAACGTTTTTCATATTTGGCATTTTCGAACCTTATTCCTCTCCAGTGGTGAACGGTTGCCGTGTTCGATGCGTGCGACGGTAAACATTCGATACCTAAATCCGGATGATAATCTGGAAAAAAAATTCCATCGATAATTATCTCTCTCTCTCACACTTGCTCTCTCTATTGGTTTGTCTCACTCACTCACTCACTCACCGCAAACTCCGGATCCCAATTGTCTCGTGCTCCATTGTTGACATTCGAAAAGATTTTTCTCGACTCCCGAACATTTTGGCTTTTCCAACAAGAGTCTCGGAGCGGCCGTACCCGTTTCTCTATTGACCCAACCCCACCATTCCCCCCCCTGAAATCCGAGGTGTCTGCATGCCGTTTCCATATCCGCTCTCGTCCAACTGTAATAAAATATAATAATAATAATAATGATAACGATAAAGTCCAAATGATTCCAACATCCCCGTTCGCGAGTTTCTTCCTTAGAAAACACAAAACCTGGAACGGACGACGGATTTAAATAATAATGATAATGATAATGATAATAATAATAGTGTTTAAATATTTATTTTTTAACGTGATATTTAATGACCGTTAAGAGTGAGAGAGAGAGAGAGAGAGAAAATCTCCTCCTTTTTCATTTCGCCCATTAATAAAAAGTTTCTTAATGCAATTATATATGCACTTTATTACTGTTTGTTTCTTTTGTTTGTCTTTCCCTTTTTAATTACCGGGTAATAAATTATTAATTAATTAATTAACTTTTCTCTCACTCGGTCGTGGCACTAGAAAATAGAGAAAAGATTTATTTATGATAATGCATCCTTCGTAATAATTAATTTAATTCGTTTCGAAAACATTGTTTGCAACGACGTCTACAACCACGACGTCTGTGATAATGATAATGATGAATTTCGTTTAAATAAACGTGGCATTAACTTTGTTAAATGAGTAATGCGTGCTCCGAGTATGATGATAATGATGATGATTCAAAATTAATCAATTTGATAAATAAATAATTTTATCGTAACTCAAATAATAAAAAAAATTCGTATTTTATGACCCATTTACGAGTGTAATGAAATGATAATGATGATGATGATGATGGAGTTGACATATGCGAGAGAGAGAGAGAGGGGGGGGAAACTTACTTTCTCGAATTTGTGCAAACGGATCTCCATTTTCCATTGTGAAATATTTGCAGTCTTCCGGTTAGTATCGATGGACCATCGACCAATCGTATGTCTGGCCTTTCGATGGGCGATTTCGGATTATTCGTACTCGTCAGTGTGACTCTCTC